GCTAAAACATGGGTCAAATTCGATGTAAAAAAATAGGGTTACCTTAGATTCTCCAAGTAAGACGTCTGGCTCAGTGATTTTTGCAAGTTGTGCAGTCAATTTAATGCTCTACGTAATTTTGGTTTTATTTGACTGCGTGGTACATTTCGTTGAGACAGATCCACTTGTGATAGCGATATCAAGCCATAAAATTATGCAAAGTTTACTTTACCTCAGTAGAATTTTGCTTTCATTTTCATGCAATCACTTTTACTGTTTATTTTGCCAACATCTAGAAACGACTTAGAGAAGACCTGCATTTCACGTTCTGGTCAATTTCCATTCTCATGAAGTTTTCCACCATATTTGCACTGCTTGTAAAGTAATAGAATAAAAGTCTGTTAACTGCTTGCTAACTGCTGTTCAAACATTTCTATAGTTATTGAGCTACCGTCATTCGTTACCAAATAAATATTTCTTTTTCGAGCATGCTGTACACTTAGTCAAAGAAACTTTGTGACAGTAAAGTAATTCCTAATTGTTAAGCTCTGATTAAAGAAATTAGTCTAAATTCTATTTCCTGAGTAACATAAATAACCTCAACCTACATTCGTACAAGGACGGTATTATTGAAAGAAGCCGGAAAGGTGAACTTCGGGTGGCAGTCATTGATATCATCGACTGCGATTGTGATACAAAAAGTGGTTCTTTTAGGTGGATGTCCACGGTCAGCGACCACCCCTTGGATCATATAGACAGGAGTTGTCTCTCTGTCTAGGTTTGGGTACCGAAGGAATACATCGCCTTTTTCCGTCATAAGAAATCTAAATAAGTAATTAGACTTTTCTAGTTTATTATTTTAATTGGTACTTAAGAACAAATGGATAATTTTAATTTTTAATGCAACTATAAAAATGGTGGCCTAATAAACAAATGAGTTTTGACATCTCGGCAAAGTTCTCAGCCTTAATTCTTACACTTGATTCGGATTAAGTAGGAGAAAAACATGTTTGTAGCACTTTATGAATATGCTTTCATGTTCGAAAAGTCAGCAAAACGTATACAGAAACTTCTACAACAAATGCTAAAATTTATGCATTTAAATTACGCAAAGAGATTTAGTGATTCGAATCTGTTTAGATGAATAATATTATATAAAAAACTATATTTAAAAGAACACCTTATTCCTCCATAGACATACCTAACTTAGAATTGTATTAAAACTTCATTAAAAATGTTTTGATCTGACCCACATTGGATTTGAAGTCTTTCCGTTTCTGCGAAACCATGAAGAACATCACTATGTGATATTAGAAAACCGAGGAAGCTAGCCAAATATGAAGAGTAATTTGGACGAAACTCACTATGAAGAACATTGCTTCAATAACCGAACATTATGATCATCCATAAAGATCTAGATAAAAATTGTCGCTGTTAAAATTGTCACTGATTTAGAAACTTAGTGGTGACAACAGTGAATGACGGTGATAATGTTCCGTTTGTTCGAGTGCAAATTATTAATCGAATATTTTTTGGCGCCAGAAAGTATATCGTGCGAAATAGATGAACGTAACCACGATTCTTTTTTGCATGGGGTGGTCAACATAATTCACAATAGGTAGTCGGTTATTGTCCCTCCTGTTGATGTCCCATCTTTGTTGCAATTCATCCTTGCTAAACGTATTTTCCCTTGCTCTACCTATTTGTTGTTCATATTTGCTCAAAGCATATTCAATCAACTACACTGCTTAGCCATGGTGTGGATCACTAGTTTTTCAGTGCTCGTTTTATAACACATAAACAATGAAACGATGCACATCGGGATATAAAGACATTATATCTACTCAACAGACCAATTATATCCTGTTTAGCAACTCAGAACAGTTTTCAGGGCTTAAAAAATTGGGCATCACAGCCAGAGGCTAAGAATACGATAGCATCTTGGCCTTAGTTAGCAACATTCTTTATAAACCTGGATGGTTTTATTACTTTGTTTTTAGTGTCTCCTACCGTTCAGAATGTCGTGCAGATATCTGCAAAAGCGACGTCTTAGACATAAATGCTTTTTAACAACATGGATGCCACTTTGTGACATCTCATTCCCAATCGTAATGTGACATCTGGATTGACCTTCTTATATGGTTTTGTTTAACCCTTTGTGTATTTCATATCTCTCTTTTTCATTTTGATTAGGATGACATATAACGTGGGCATAACCAAGGTCTACATCATTCTGAAATTTTTGGAATGGCCTAAAACGTCTTAAAAAATAGCAGTTTTATGGAAATAAAATTCCAAACTAAGTGTTGTTGTACGTCCCTGCAGCAATCGAAATTCGAGATTTTATTGGCCTTTATTTTTTGTAAGGTGATTACTCAAAATGATTGTGTTGGTTGATCCTCACAAAAGTACATGAATAAATTTGCTAGGTCAATTTAAATTTATCATAACCATTACAACTTTGGAGAATCTGTCACAGTATTTCATGTTTCATGCCTTCAAAACAATTCTCTCGTTTACTCCAGAAATGAATACTTTGAAAAACACAATCTATTACACAAACGAAATTGTTGCAACCTTAGTATTGATTTGCGCATGAATTACAATTCGTGAGATTTAAAGCATTCGCGAAAACGGGTTTTACTTTTTATGTCAGCATTGCTTATAGCTACTTAACTGAACTTAATTATCCTGCGGTCGCAGTTTCTCATGTGGCGTAGAAATGACACGCATCTATAAGTCGAATATTTGGGTAATTTATTTAAAGTGGCTTTGACATCGATGCCAAGGAGGAGAAAATCAAGTTTTCTGTGCATGCATTCACCTTTTAGCATTTTGCCAATAATTACCTACACAATATACCAAAAGCTTTATTTGACAATTGTGTTAAATTCTCTGGCAATATTTACGTATGTATCTTGAACCACCTTTATTTAGAAAAAAAAATTGTCCTTAAAGTTAAACCAACATGCACGCAGTAATATTTATTATTTTCCGTTGAATTTTGTACTCTTTTATAAAGTGCATGATAACCATTAAGTGAAATATTAACATAAGATTAAAAATGGTGCTTTATTAACATACCAGATAAGAGTTAAGTAAATTGAAAATCCCCATTTTGTTTTTACGATTAATACAGCAACGTTTTGTCAAACAAACAATCAAATAAGTAGGCACGCATGAAATTTAAAGAACATTTTAAATACGATTTTTGCAAAGGCAATTCGACTTTAACTCAGATAAAAAGTAGAATTTTTCAATGGAAACAAATTTTATTCCAAATTATCTTTGTCTTCTTGCCAATGTCTAAACACTTACAGAAATCAACCATGCATTGATTATAAGAAGTGGCTTCATTTTCATTTGCAATCGGTGATGAAATCAGTACATGAATTTCTTTAAGGTCAAACCTGACCGTTGGTCAGTTGTGCTATCTTGAAAACATTAGGATGGATGCTGTAACAAATTCCACTGCTTGGTATGCAATGCCATAGCTAAGTAGCACGATTGCTTCCAACTTACCATGAAACGTAATTGAAAAGGTGGTTAGGTTTTCTAAAATTCCCCCAAATGATAGAATAAATGTCCTCTGGTAAACAAACACAATCCAAAACCGATGAAAATTTGAAATATTGTAGGCAAATAAGAAACTGCCAAATAGATGAGACATGACGCCTTAACCGTAAGATAGAGTACATAAACCTGAAGTCTAGATGAAACTGAATATTTAAGTAATTTTTCAATTTTTTATGTAAATTGCTTTAAGATTTTCTGCAAAATTGTTTATAAGTTGTTTGCATTTTCTTATTATATCAAGCAAAATTTGACTTCAAGGATGACGAGTGCCGGATTTCGAATAGGACATATAGTTGAGTCGGCAGTATTATGCCTTGTTCAAATGATAAGTAACCCAGGATTACCAATCAGTGGCTGGAAATCAACTGCTATTAAGCAAGTTGCTAAATGAAATTCACTTTATAAGACTAAATTATCAACCAGTGCACTTCTTACAAAATGTTTGATTACTGCAACTTGATTCCAGGTAACTTGCTGACTAGAAAATATAACTATATGCTATGTTTTGTCTAGATTAAAATTACCCATGACAAAGTTCATTTGGGCTCAGATCTTTTAAATTACTATAAACCAAATACGATTATTTATTTGTGACGATTTTTACTGTACAAATAGCCGTTAACTGCTCTAGGAAAGTCTTACCTTCTCGTTAGTCAGTAAATATTCGCCGGTGACCTCCATTCGTTCTTCTTCCGAATCCTTTCTCCTGTCACAAAATTACCGCTATTGCCATCAAATGCCAACAAATACACGTCTTTGGAGGTTTTCAAAATGCAAATTTACTTAATTAAATAGCAATGAGCATTGTCTTTTGTGGTTATTTGCGTTCACAAGTAGTCACGTAATGGGGGCACAGGTTGCCATAACTCTTGATTTATTGCTGATGGTGTGAGTGGTTTAAAAGTACTTTGTGTAGAATCGCTGCTTTTGCCATTTATGTGGTTATCTTTGGCATGTTCTAAATTACAATTTTCGAGGTTTTAAACCGTGAAAAAGAAACTTTTCATATGTTCAACAGTTCCTTTATGGGTATTGAAGTCCTGCATCTCAATTGTGCTATAAAAAAGTTTTCCATATAGAAAATATTTTTTATGATTGAGTCTGCTAAAATAGCAGACACTCCTGCGTCTTTGCATCTAGCGGCGCAAATCGCACTGCTCTTACCTCCGATACTCTTTTGAAGCCCATGAAGGGGCATGATTCATCGGAATTCGGCTGCACAACCGGTAGGCTTTTTTAACTGTTTGCACATCACACTTGTTAACCAACTCCACGGCCCACGAACAGAGTGATTCCGTGATATCTGGCGTCTTCTCTTCTGTCCCAGGAATGCCGCAGAAACAGGGTCTGATTGAAGTAAGTTTAAAGTAGATATTCCCGTTGGGTCCTAAATCGTAGTCAGTAGCCCTGAGGGCACCTATAGGGTCCGCTAAAATTAACAAGAAGTAAGCTGTGCTGCCTTTTGCATCAAAACAGTGGGTTTGTAAACTTTAGTGTAATTTTTAAATCGTAATGTCAAGATTTCTAACAAAATCTGCGCAAATTTAGACTACATGAAGTTAGTCAAGGTTCTTGGTTGGGACTTGTTTAGGGTAATTATGCATATATTTAGTCTTGACTAAATTAGACAGGAGAAGTCAGGCATGCATGAAATGGGAGTTCTTGATGTGCAATAAATGCCAACCTAGCCATCCTTTCAGCGACTCTATGAGGTCGGTGGAATAATGTGTACACTCTTCGGCTTCAATCAGGATGGCCCCTGTTAAAATAACTAAAAACGATTCAGACGTCGTTTTCGCCCCATAAAACCTCCTGTCTGCATTCAGATGATTTCCATTACTTTTAAATAAGCAAATACTTTAACAATTAATGGAATTATGCCCATGTCCTAAACAATGAATGTGTCTCTGCCAAGATGCTCATAGCTTATTAGCTCGCTGATCTTCAGCGATAGCACAGAATGAAACACAAAGCACATCGTCTAGCAACCAGGGCAAAATAGTTGCCCAAAGCTACTTTACCATGATGATTTTAACGAAAATATCTACAATCTCTATACTTAAGTGGTTGAATAAGTTTAAAACCAATAGGCCAAACAAGCGCAGTTCTAAATAACAAAGTTTTTTACACATTTTCTACCCATTTTTTGAACCAACATTTTAGACCGCATTCACGAACGCTGCTGTCCTAGACATAGATCTTGGTTAAAATGCTTTATAGCTTTAGTTAAATTTCGAGTCATGATCGCCGTCGTGAACATTCATCGTTGTGTATTCATTCATGTTCTCGTTAGTCAGTCTTAACCAGAAAGCAGATTTCATTCTCGCATGCAAATTTCTAATCAAAACAGTCAACAAAAGGCTATTTTGATTATAAATAGTTAATTTTGTCGAATATTTGTGCATATGAATAATACAGCTCTTCTTTTATGGAAGCATCGAAGTTCGTACAAATCGCACCAGGAATGAAGTCACGTGCATGGCCTGCTAAAGCAAATAACCATTACTTTGTATTACCGGAATGTTTATGTATCGAACAATTTAGCTTTTAATAATGCGTAGTAAATTGCATTCTGAATAAATCAGAAACTAATCATAAGGCCGAAATATTTTAACTTACCAAGTCAGGTACAAGTTTGAAAATTGATGAATTTAGTCTCACTTTTAGCTTTAGATACCCTCGACTTTATATTTGTGAAAGTGCTTAGACAGAAAAAAGATTATTACTTTTAAATTCGTGGTGCCCATGCACTGGTTCGGGTATCAAATCCAAAGATGGAAAGAAAAATAAGTTTCTTGTCACTTTTTGAAGGGCTTTAGTACTCTAATAATAGGTAAAGTACATATATCCGCCTAGAAAGCCCGAATTATGTTAATCAAGAAAACTGACTGAATAGGACCACTTCATATTTGTTTGGTTAAATTAAATTTACACAGTGTTTTAAAAACAGGTAAATTTCTACTGTTTAAATAGGGTAGACACAAGTTTCGTTCTAATTCACCACAGTCCGCTAGTAAAATTTTTCGATGATGTATCAGAGTTTCAGCTTTGATTTTTTGACAAATTTAAATAACGTAAACTTGATTTACGAGGTTACTTGTTCAACTGTGCTTAAATTATTAGCATTGGTTCATTGCATTTCAAACATAATAAGCATTAATTAAGCATTAAATTGTAATATATTTAATACATGGATTCCTGGCTTCCGTTACACCATTTCCTCAGCCATCAGAAATGTGGATCTCGAAGATACAACTATTTCACTCTCTAGTAAAGTAGACGAATGCACCATTTGAAGGCTAAAAGGTCTCGTAAAACGCCAATGAGTAAAATGTAAAATAGTTAAGTGATTCAAAAAATCTTTGCATTCATTACCAAACTTTGCACTGTACCGAATTTTATACTTATTACAAATATTTCACTGTGCAAAAAGTAAACTTCATTTTGACCAATTTTAAATCAACAAGTTGTCAATTGCGAGTTATATTTTGACTGTTTAGTGTTTGCATCGCAGGGATGTACAGCTCCACAGTCCTCAATTGCATCAAATAAATTTGCCGTAAGACAGACATTTCCTTCTTACGTGAACAAAATTTTTTTGATTCGCATTAAATGTTTGTCATAATAGGTTAATTTAATTGAAAATGTTCTTACGTAGGGAAGCGAAAAGGAGTTTAACATCTTATACTGATTATCATAGAAAAAAATCCTTTGAGTACATACAGCATGTTTAAGCATCCTTTAAAATTGGTTGCGCAAAACACAAATGTATGCATAACTTGAAAATGTGCAGACACCAAATTCACGTGTTACGGAAGGCACTGATTAAATAAACAAATTCGCGATTTGACCATTCAAAATGTGTCTCAGTATTATAGATATTTGACAGTTTCCTTTGGTTCGGAAAACAAGGCTGACTAAGAGGAATATACAGAAGTGTTTTGTTTGCCTTATATTGAAACTGGAGTACAATATTCACATAATTTAAACCACTAAGAATAATTATTCTCCAGCCATTTTGGAGGCCCATGGTAGTCAAAATCTACTTGAAAATCATATTTCTGTAAAGCCAAAAATTACTTCATAAGATTTATAGTTTTACTTTGTAAGATTAGTACGTAATTTGCGAAAATTAGTTTGAGTTTGGATCAGTGGTAAAGAGATTATTCCTGTTTGTCAAATACTTATTTGAAGAACACAATTACACTTTCTGGATATTTTTAGAATTAATCATCCAAAATTGTGTTTGTCATTTAAATTAAGGTAAACTGCACACATATTTTTATCTTAAAATAGGAATACTTGAACTCATATTTTTGTTACAAAATAACGTTAAATCTCTAGACTCTTTATTATTGCAAAAGAAAAATTATTTACAGCCAGTCCCTGAGTGTGCATAATAGTAAAGAAACTGTCAATTGATGTGGATACTTTGAACCCCTTTCCGGCAGTTTGTTGTGTAGTCGTGAGCCTTTGGTGAATACCCTGAACGGAGTTCCTTTCAGTCAAACAATGGTTTAATTCACAGAAAAATCTGCCTGATTAAAGCTAAACAGCAGGAAATTAGTGTTAAAGAAGTCGTGAATTTGGACTCTGTGCAGCGTCTCCTTGCAGGATAGTTTAGTTGTATAATAAATCGAAAAATACTATTCAATGTCTGATTACTTTAAGTTTTGCCTGGTTTATTTTCTGTAAAATTACGCAAATACCAAGAAATATAGTTGCTCGTCAAAATACAAAAACAGGTCGAATTCCCTTTATTTAATCATTTTATTATTGAATCAATTCCATCCAATACGCCAAAGAATTTGCACGCTAGCGCATGTTCATATTTGGGAGTTGAACCGTAGATCCTAAGCAATTTTGTTGCAACATGCATCTTTTGTCAACAAATCTTGGACAGAAGACCCAATGGGTAATTATTTATATTTTAGCTGCAAAAAGTGACTTTAGAGTTTTTAACAGGCTATTTATATTGAAATTCTGCCTCGGGCTCTGATCATACAGTGTACCTTCCATCTCCTGCATCAATACAAATTACTCCTAACCTAGTCCTTTCAAGCCTATGCCAAATTTTTGACTGAAATCCTTGGAGGTTTTGTACAGTAAGATCTTTAATCCTTTAGCTCATGTCTGATGCATTTTACACTTTCCACCAAGAATCGTCATATTTTAAGTGGTGAAGTTAATCATACGTTATAATATGCAGAAACTTATTTATTGTGCATCTACTTAACAAATTTCAAAACGCGTGCCTGGAAACAGCCCCTTTTTGTTGCTACAGAAATGTTTCACCTTTTCTTACTTAGTTTTAGGATATAAAAAATTAGCCTAAACCATCTTAAAGCTTAAAATATTCTTGGTTAGCATCCACGTTAATTGTGTGTTAATTCTTTTGAAATGAGCCTTGAAATTTGCAAGTAGACGGGCCAGAGTTAAGGTTTCCAGATATAGCCACAAGTGACACTCATGAAATGGCTACAGCGATATAGCTATGGCATTATTTTAGCCATATATATCCAAAGCAAACAATTGTTTGAATCTTTTTTCCCTAATTTGGCGCTTATTAACTCACACACTCCGTTACCTGCTGAATGGTTCTCTAGAATAGATATAAAGCGGTCAGAAGTTAAAATCGGCGCGTTGTCATTGACATCATCGACGAACAGTGTCACCGTGATGGACCCGGTCAAGGCGGGACTACCTCCATCCACTGCAACAATGGTGAAATTGTGCTGCGTTTGTTTTTCATAGTCCAAGGGTTGACTCAGACTAACTTCGCCCGTCTCATTATTGATAGTGAAAATGTTGTCCTGTGGTGATAGGAGACTGTATGTTATAGTTGCATTTTCACCTATAATTAACAGGATTTTAAAGGTAGATGCAATTTTAGGATGAAAAAAAAACAACAACTCTATTTTGACTTTGGACAGGGCAAGAATTTGGGGCATATTATGATATATGTTAACCTCCAAATCGTTTCTTCTAAACTACATTAACAACTTGTAGGGAACTTGAAGATCAGGGGCCTTAAAAGGTTTGTACCATAGAAAATGACTTTTTCCACTTTTGACTTTTGTAATCAGCCCCCATTTCTGTTTGTGAGAAGCCAAGCATATTTCCAAGCTTCGGGAAATTTGAATATTAATAATAAACTAGTCGGTATTAATAATAGCTTAATCTAACGCAGAGTTGACCAGTAAACATGTTCTTCAATTGCAAAAAGATTTAATTCCTGGTTTTAATATACACGTAATTGATCCGACAACTCAAAGTGAATTTCATTAAAACGGTGATATCAGAAAGTGCTGCAGAGGCTCGCTAGTCGAACAACACTGGGTTATCAGTCTACAGTCCTTCATCATTGAATCACGCAAAAGTTCAGGTGAGCATTTACTTCCTTAACATAAGTAGGACCAAACCAAATGAACAGGCTAAATACAAATACAACACCTTTGTAATTTAATTTGTTTAGTTTCAATTTCACACATTTTACAAGACAAATAAATAAAAAATGAGGGTGGTCATAATAGTATGTGGCTGTCTGAAAAGTTTTTTTACGATAAACCTGTCTAGCCTGATTTTGGGTGTCATTATTGTCGCACAAAAATATCAGTGGCGTTTAGGCTATTGTTTATTTCTGTTACCTGTAAACACGGTAGAAAGTGCTATGTTGCATGCTGAAAAATCATTAAAACGAAATGCGTGGGAAAATGATAAAAAAAAATATGATTAAACCATTCACGTTGAAGAATATCCAGCTAGAAATAAAGATTTTTTAAAGAACTGAATAAAATCCTCTTTTAATTCCTCAAATGTCGGCATCTTACCTTCGTCCAAATCTATTGCCGTTAAAGTGAATAGCGTTGTATTGAGAGGGTAGCTTTCGATCGCTCTGTAGGTGAAGTGTTTGAATGGGAACACAGGTGCATGGTCATTCACATCAAGGATTCGAACAATAACGTGATCCGTAGAATTCTGACTAGGGTAGCCCTTATCTGAACAGGTTATGCCAACGCGATATTCGTTTCCAGATTCCCTGTCGAATACGGCCGCTGTAGACAATTGGTAGCTGCAGAAATATTGTAACTCCTTTTAAATATATATGCATTTCATAAATTAAATCTCAGAAAAATTGAGGTAATGCTAAACATCGGCCTGAGTAAGCACGGTCAATTCTACGAAACCAAAAAAGAAATATGAACTCTTTAGTTACAACATCTGTTTTTTTCGGTTAGTGCAACCTGGAGGTGATGGTGATGAAATCGCCGAAATGGTCAGCACCTGCAAAAGTCCCAAGCAACTCTACTGCTTTGTCAATTGTAAACCTAAGGAAATGCTATTAAGTAGCTGTGAGTTTCAAAAGACTGAATTTTGGATTCCTCATTATTTTACCTGTTTTATTACCCAGTCTATTTTGGCATTAAAACTGATTAGAAAGGATGCAGTAAGAAGCTCTGAAGTTAGCCATGAAACTAAATGTCAGCGTAGTTAATGTTAGTTTTCAAAGGCTAGGTTGATGTATCTTTCAATGCAAAATCTGTGTTTTCGCGGTGGTTTGTGCTGCTATATTGTTGGCTTGCAAGATTTATTAGTGCATTGGATACCAATTGCGCCAATTCACCTTCTTTTATATATATAGGCTTTAATAGTAGTACAGTCATTCCTGAAGGAACGTGTAGCATGATCTTTTTATATTTGATATTGTGAGTAGGTAGCGCTACACAGCCTTAAGTAATCTAGAATCTTAAATCTTGGTAAACAACTTCTCTGACTAAACCTGTACTGAATGGCAGTAAAACGGGGGTATGTTGACTTCTGTTGTGTGACTTCATTCTTGGTAAGTGGTATTTAAACAAACCAACCAAACGGAATTTATTTATTATTGTCAAAAACTAGGTTTTACATTGTTTGATGTAAATTCTGTCCAAAATTACCCCCTTCGCTTAGCTCTGTCTCAAGAAGGGCGTTGAAATGGAAGACCTCAGTAACCTGTTTCTATAAATACTAGAACACTGCGACAATAGAGAATACACAATTTTAGCGAACGAGAAATGAACCGTAGGAGGTTGGGGTGGGGAGTGGGGCTGGCTTCTGTTTCCAACTCGTATACAATGGACAGCTGCATGGGCAAAACTGATGTTGCAAATGCTACCAAAACAGGCATTCGCGCATGGATGCGCTCTAACATTTACAATAACTAGAAGCAAATGCGTACTGAATAGCCAGTGCCCTTTCCGAATTTGTCCACAACGCAAGTCTTCTTGCATACTTCTCTAACTTAGGGGATTGGAGAAACATTAAATAGTGCGTCTGCATTTTACGGTGACGGCTAAACACGTGTGTTCTTAGCCTAATGTAGACACAAAAACAAGGAAAACATTTTACAGCAATATTCCGATTTACTAACTGATATCCTAACTTGGTGTGCTAAGTTTTCAACATCGGCAATTAAACCATGTCACGGTCTTGCTGGGTTGCGTCAAAGAGTAAAACTTGATTAGCAATTCAGGCACACCTAAATTAGCTTTTAAGATAAAATGCGGAGTTGAAATTAGTGATTCGATATAGACCACTAAGGTAATCGCTTTGAAGTAGCCTTGGTTTCCCATCCTTGTTACTTTTGGTTTAAGCAAGTAATTAGATGCAGAATTGAGAACTTTGTTCCAAAGTCTTCAAGTCTCACTTTTAAAGAAGTGATAATTCATGGAGACATTTTAGTAAGCAGAAGGGTTTTGCTCTTCCAAGCCGTCAGTTGTAATCGCCTAATTTATTTTGTTTTTAAAATGGAAAATCGGCAACTATGGTTATATGAGTTTTTCAGTGAGTTTTTTGAAAATGTGAAGCATGCAATTTCGATCTCAAAAGCCTGAAAGGAATTGACATTGGGAATTCAAACAGCTGTTAGTAACCACATGATGGTAATCTGGGCTCATAAATTTCTGTACAACGATGAGAAGCTAAATATTATTAATATTAATATTATAGCTGCTATGCAGTGGTTGTGATTCACACAACTTGTTAGTCTGATTTACTTTCAAAAAAGTAAGCATCTGATTTTTTTAATTTTCAACCTCCCAGAATTGTGTTCTATTTTGTTACTGCTTCAGGTTTACCACAAGAAATGTTGGTTACTTTCGACATTGACTGGGTTATTGCGCACTAACCCATGAGTGTTATATTTTTTTGTGAAGAAATTTTATCTGACCATATCAGAACTCAGAACCGTATTTCCCATCACACACGATTTGTGTGGCGCCATACCTCAGCTGCATATTTATTTACCTTCTTTTGATATGAATCAGTTCAACTGCGCTGACCTTGTAAAAAATGCACAAGCCGCCTCCTTCCTCAGGATATCGTTCACATCATCTCAATTTGCCGACAAGATCAAATGCCAAGTACTGTTGGCATTTAGGTGTACCAGACATCTAGCTTTACTTCAAACACTAAAGCAAAGTGGTAAGATGACGTTTAATGTCACTTTTTGAAGCGTTTGTGTTTATATTCCACTAAAAATGTATTTTATGCCCCATCCTACACTTTCTCAAGTGCAGTTTACTAAGCTCACAGTCCAATACATTGCCGCAGACGGGTAAATAAACTTTGCAAATTCTGTAAGCATTTGTTTAAAATAACACAGAACTCACACTTTTGTAAAAGGTAGAATTATGAGGTCAAGTTTAAAGAGGGAATCAGGTCCCAATTTGTCCCTCAGCAAATCGTCTTCATTCCTGAAAATTGATGCAACCCAGCACACAGTCTCGCCATTGACTCCACTGTCTTCGTCAATAACAGTAAAGACTGAGACTACTCTTCCTGGATTTTCATTTTCCGGCACCAATGCAAAGCCTGTCAGACTAATTGGTTCGAAAAGCAGTTGGGGTGCATTATCATTGATGTCGGTTACTACCATCTGCACTTGACAAGTAGACCGTCTCGGAGGATCGCCTTTGTCAGAAGCGACTATTGTCAGGCTGATCTACAGCATTTTAGTAAAACTAAATGTCTTATTTTCTTAGAGACGTAAGACGTCTTCCTGAATTAATTAAACATTTTAATTTGCAAGGAGCTCCATTTCGATTAAAATGTACAATTTGAACAGTTTTGTCTTTGTCTTATTTGCATAAGTTTGTAGTACTTTTGATCAAAGCTGCTATACGTGCAGTCAAACCAGTCACTTCTTAAGTCATTACATTATTTCATTAAAAGACAGTCATTTTAAAAGTTTTGGTTAGCTATTGATGTTGCATTTTAAGTCCGGGAAGACATATTCTAGTCAATCAAACTATTCCAACGGGATGATCAGTAATTTTAGAACGGATACGAAAATTCATTCTCCAACTAAATTCACAGATAAATGATTGCAAAAATCTCGATTTTGTGGCTTTTCAGTTTTTTTTCACTGTTGGTATTTGTATATGATTTTACTTCCTGCAGTAAAGACAGCCCTTTTTCTGGCTGTTGAGATACTTTCTCTGCATGACAGTTATTTGAATCAGTTAAAATATATTGATCCTTTAACTAATCAGGATCATAACTCAGTAAATATCAAATTAGTGTTTGGATAACATTTGTCTGCATCCTAAAAATAAGATAAATGCACTCATTAACCTCAATTTTTGGTGTCTTGTAAGTATGCCATTAGCAGTATACAATTTGTTCAGTAAGTGAACAAAGAATTTAATATTTCACAACTACAATTTACAAATCACTTAGTTCTTTCAAATTACTAAGCTGGTGGGTATCAGTTTACGTTTCGTGATATTTTTCTTGAAAAAGTAGGCGATAATGCGATACATGTTTGTATTCATTTGCATAAATGCCCAAATTATTTTTTTTTAGAATTTATATGAAGCACTTCAACTACCAGCTTGTAACTTAACTCCTCTTGACATCGTAAATTTAGTTTGAACATTTCCAGGAATTCGGTGCCTCCTTTGGTGTATGCTATTCCTAAAAAAGGGAACTAACAAAACACGGACAAAGTAAAAATTCGCTTCGCTTTTGTGTGGATTAGAAACTCCTGAAAATGCCAGCCCTGTCGGGTTCCCTATTTCGAAGGCATTTACCAAATATGCCATATTAGGTCAAGCAAATGTCTTCGTGTAAATAGGCATTCTTGTAAATGGCACTATCGCAAGGTTCCCTACAAAACTCAACAAATTACAATGATTTTCTTATTTCAATGGATTAAAGAACAGTCAACCTGGTTCCACTTACTGCAATGTGGGAAAAACGGCATTCCGACAAGGATTTAATGTTGTCGAAACCGTTAAAGTGATACCCTCTGAGATTTGTCGGTCCTGATTATTTTATGTAAAGGCCAGTAAAACGTGATTGTGCTTTTTTAAGCTTTCAGGTCGAAACTCAATAGATGCGGAGTTATGTTCGCCTCTTTTGTGTCCCCTATCCCATAGTTTTTGCTTTGGCAGTTATCAGCGCTATTGATACTCGCAGCAGACGGTCTTGATGAATCGCTATGCGCTTCTAGATTTACCAGGCCCTGCTTTAAAGGACCGCTTTGTCAAGTGTGATGACTTAATTTACACAAGTTGGCAGGCATGCCTACTACACTAGACACCATATGCTCCTCTTTTCCCACAGATATTGACAACTTCTGATTTATGTAACAGGTTTTTTAGTCACCTCCAAAAATCCTGAATAAACATCAAGTTAACCAACGCATTTTAATGCGAAATACGTTATCACCCACACTTTTGGAATAGATGATAAAGTTATAATAACCAGCGCCTTAAAATCTTTATTTTGTGACATAAACTATTAGGTCCATTAAACTGCCTTGACAAAAGTATTTGTTCAATTGTAATTGAAATACACCAGGTGACATCTTTAAGTACTGCCTTGGAGTCCAAAACATCAACTATGGCCTATTCCGCTCTTACGTTTCTACATTTGCAAGTACTGTAACAGCCACTTTAAACATATTCTAATAATTATACCTATGAACTCTGAAACCAATCCAATTTTGAAATATGCTTTTACATCTCACCAATTCAAAACGAGTTTTAAAAAAGTCCATTTGAACTTATTGGATATTAACAAAAATATTAATGGCAAAGAAAATCTTAAATGGACTTTTACTGATAAATCAAACTGAAACAGCTTCTAAAATGCTTATTGACCCCACACTCTCCACTTTGATGTTTTAATACATAAAAGCACACTTTAAAAAACCTCTGGTCTAGCATGAGTGCCCACAAAATTGACCTAGGCAGAATATAAAATCATAGACTGTTGCACTGTGAAATACGTTCGATTCTTCAACAAATTTCTGAAATCATGTAAGAACTCCAACTTTTAAAGGGAATCTTGAATTTTAATGTAAAATACGAAAATGATGCTTATACACATGCCTCTTTATAGTCTTCGAAGTCCAATTTTCCCTTCAGTGTAATCCAACCTGTGCTCAAATCGACGACGAACAGTTGGGCAAACTCCGGGTCTGTTAGTGGGCTGATTGTGTACGCGACTTCTGCATTCTCACCATGGTCAATGTCAACTGCTACGACCTAAAGACAGACACTTAACTTGAACATTGAGAGCCAGGTCCCGTCACTGAGAGCTACATGTAAGGCTTATACCAATGCTAATACCGACCTCACTTAAGTTTTTCAATGTACTTATTTTCCTTGCAACGCTTCGTACACATTGACGTAAGACGTAGTTGGAACTGTGACGAATACTTTTTCTAGCAATTAAATCAATAAAGTAACCAATTTCTTCCATCTCTGTGCAATCAATCTACTAATAAATTTAGATTCCCATGAAAGGGCAACAAAATGAATGTAAGTAAAACAGTGACTAATCAAGCCAAAATTATCACGTTTTTATAATGCTCATTTTTACACACACATACTTCAAACTGGTGGCTAGATACAAGTGCCTGTCGACGAAAATGTCTATTGCCCTTATAGTAGCTTAAAATAACACTATTTTCAAAATTATCTTCATATACATGAATTATGTTCATGATAGAATAAAATTATAATCTCATGAGCTGCATTCTTACCAAAATATTTTATGGCAAGTAGATTGGGATAGGTTTCGGAAACTTATTGTTAAACGACTTGTCGAGTATTACTTTTCTATAACGTCGCCTTTGTCTAATCCGTGTTAGGGTAACTATGCAAACGGCTCTAATAATTTAAAATTTTCTCAGACATTGCACTTCATAGGAACTTCATAATAGGAGGACATGCATCTCAGGCCGTAGTCTGGTGTACGGTACTTACAAAAGTTTACTACAATTTCACTTTCTGAGATTTAAAGCCAACACATGTCGAATTTGTCACAAACATTTTGATACAAAGAGGTGGAAGTTTGTTAAAAAAATATGCTTACACTAAAGTTTCAAATTTCATTGTGGTATGCAATACAGTTATAGCATACTTTCTTAAAAATGTAATCGTGGTGTCGGGTGGATTCCTATATATAGGGTAGTAACGAAACAAACTGATTGTTCTAGTCATATTGCATTCGGAGGCTTGCAATTCTCACTAAATTAGAAGATACCTGGACAATAGGCATTAGCGCTTTTGTATTCTCCGGTATTGACACGAAGTAGATGTTCTTCTCGAACACCGGACTGTTGTCATTCACGTCCAGTATCTGGATGATGACGTCTAGAGAGCCTGATCTGGGCTTAATCCCACCGTCAAAAGCAGTAATTGTGAAACTGTAGTAAGACTTCTCTTCTCTGTCTAGTTCCACTTTCAAGTAAAGATGGAGCCTGCTAGAAGTATCATTCCACACTACTTCAAATTCCGGTAGCTTTGGCCGCATTTCATAGGTGAGTAATTTGTTCGGCCCAGAGTCAAGGTCAACTGCTGAAGGGAGTTCCAGTGAATTCCCCACTGGCATATTCTCGGGAATTCTGAGTATGAGTTCCAAATCATTCTAGATTAAAAGGAATATATTTTAACTAATCTCAATAAAAACTCAGGGACATTTTAGAGAAAAAGGTATCTAATTAACATAACTACTGATTTTTACACTCACTGATTCTACAAATCAAAATGATTTTGAACAAATTGGGAGCTACAGTGCATATCATCCCATCGTGTGTGCCTTTTTGTTAATTTTAACAAGCTCTGAGATGATTAAATGCATCCTGGTAAAGTGGAGTCTTAATATTGTCAAAATTCATAAATTTGAATATGCAAAAATCGAATGAAGGTATCACTCGAAATCGGATTAAATCCATACAAGCCTAAGGTTTGAAAGAAAACTAATTCGACCCTTCTATACATGATCCAAAATTATTTAGATGAAGGAATGTTTGAGCTAATGCAATTAATACCAAAATGATTGTTAATGCAATAACCCTAGGTATTGCAAATTAATAATACATGGCAGTCGATTAATATGTTTATTAATGCAAACAATCAAATATCTTACAAATCACCATCGAGATATGCGCCCGAGGATATTACACAATTGCCTTTAATGCACCCTGGCCTTTGTGTCTTTGTAGGAAAATCGAACGGCTCTCCGATATTCTGAAATGACATTTCTAGGAAATTTGGCTGTGTAGTGGACATGATGCTAAGAGGCGTCTGCTCCGATTACTCCATTAGTGTTAATGAAGTCTCGTCTGTTTAATTAAAATCAGAGATTTTGTTCTTATATTTTGATCTGCGACACAAAACGTGTCTTTTCTGTGGACTTCTATGCCCTTATTTTTCACAAGAAAGTAATCTACGCATTCGAATTGCTAAAAATGACTGTGATTATTCATAATTCCATCATCTGTACTTACTGTCTCGAATACTCTCTTATTTCGCCCTCTTAATTTTCCAATTACTATCATTAAGACAATTGACAAATTCTTGAGTGTAAGCAATTAGCCTTTGCATGTCTTACATTTGCTTGGTGCCTAATGCGTACGCGAATACCTCACTTTACTGTTTTTCTAAGCTTTTGGCATACTTTAGTAACCTATTGCCACAATGCATATTTACGCATTATAAAGTGGAACCAGCAAATTTACTAGGCAATTTGATTTACAGATGCATTAAATTGAACAAATTTAAAATGTCTAATGTTTGTCACTTGTACCTTAACACCACTGTAGGCAGTTTACACTAGATGATATTATGTATTCGTTTTGATTCAATATCCCTTGTGAAATGCAGTTAAATTGCTTTCAAACAGAACAAGTCAGCTAATCAGAACCATTTGATTTCTTCATGTTTTCAATTTAAATATCACCGCGGTGCTGAAAATAGTACCATGCGCCACACTAGACGCTAAATATCACAAAATAAAATTTTGCATGTTGAGCGATGCTTGCACTGGGTTTTTCGAAATTTTGGCAATCCTTATTCAATTTTAGTTCATTGACGTTTCAACAAACGGTAACTAAGGAAACTGTTTGTGTTCCTTTTTTGGATTAATTCGTCCTAAGGCATGGTTGTCGGCCCAGAAGACATTATAATTAAGCCCTTCTTGATTGTGGTCCGATGTAATTACTTTCTTTGTGAACCGATGATGGCTTGTGGGGACATGGCTGCTGTTCAATCTTGACTGCATACATTACGAAATTAAAACATTTTCTCTCCAAGATTATGTACCGTGTGACCGAATAAATTTTGCATATTAAATTTGAAACATTTTTACCTATTTTTAGATCTCGTTACCAGATTTATTCAACTAAAGGAAAAACATTGGCCCGACAAATAACATGAAATATTCCAAAAAGTCGACATTTATTAATTAGGAAACCTGAGGGGATTTCATATTCTAACTAATGACTTTTACGATAATGTTGTTTCTTGTTTTGCTGCAATATTTCAATCTTGCTCTATGTCTTGCCTGCTGTGTGCGTCTACAGATTTTGGCCTCTACACGGGGATATTTTGTTTACTAATTAACTAACTCTTGCATCTACTACATTGATAAATGCAATTTAATTAAAAGCATTTCTAAGGAGAGTTTTGCTTGACTCTCAGTATCGAGTTAAGACCAATAACGTGTTGATAACCCCTCTTTAATTCTAAACTGTTTGTATCGGGCAAAATAGAAGTTAAGAATAAATAAATGGTGTCAGTGAGTTTAAGCATAAACTTGAGTGCTGAATTTAATTTTAACTGTTGACTATGTACCTGAATGGAAGCGTTGACCTTGTGTGGTGAAATATTGTTAACACTCAACTACTTGCATGTCCCTGTAAATGGTGGTTAGATTTTGCCTGGCTGCATGAGAAGTTATAGCGACTCTAAAAGGCCTTAGTTTAAAGTAGAAATTTACTACACTGACAAATGAAATTATTTGTGGATGTTTAAGGTGAAGTGTTCACTGCAAAAATATTTGTGCTGTACATTATGGAATTATTTCCTGAACATCATTCTCGATGTCTTTCGGATTTTGACGTATAATAACATCATCAATTTCATTGACATAACTTCGACAAAGTCAGGAATATCAGGAATATCAACTAGTGGGGGACATAGGTGTCCCACGTACTCCTACCAACAAGACGGACCGTTTAGTTAATCACAAATATTCCCAGTCGATGGTGAATAAACTTATTAAATTTAAAAGTTTGCAAAAATACCAACCTTTTGAGGGGATTCCAAGTCCCACTTTGGCGCATTGTCGTTTATATCTTCCACGCAAATATCCACATTTAAGATGTCTTGGCAAGAATTAAAAATCTGAATTGGAAAACAGCAGTACGGGGTGTTGGCAACATAACTCGGTGACCTTTGGTTAGTCAATTGAATAGGTAGCACCGTTTCGCTCAGTATGCATCCGGCATCATGTAATTCTGCGTCATCGAAATCAAGCCTTTTGGCCGTTTTTAATAATCCTGTTAGTCTGTTCATATTGAAAATAGGATATTCGAATGATGTATTAAAAGGCGCATCTTGTTGATGAAGTTCGTGCGGGGATTCCATAGGACCCTCAATTATCACTGAAGAAACCCCACGCTTAGCATACTCCCTCGCAAGTTTGAAAGCCCGGGAGGCGCTAAGAACAACTTTGCCTGCTGGGATTTCTTCTTCTCTGAGAAAAAGGTGGATTTGAGCAATTTCGTTTGCCGATATGAAGCTTGATACCATGGGTAATAATACGAAGAATAGAAGGAGGAGAAGGAGGAAGAGGCGGAGGCGAAGTTGAAGACTTGTTATGGATTGCATTTCCCACGCTGACAGACAAAATGATTTTTGAGAAGATATTATGAATGTAGGAGTCACCGACTTAAACTGTCTGGAACTATTTAAGTAATCGATATCAAATGGGTAATTCAAATTGTCTAGTCACCGTAAATTTCACAATACCATTCATAGGATTATTTCCATTTTTATCTCGTAATACTTTGAAAGCTGTTTTTTATTTATGAATTGGTGACTTTATCGATAATTATAAATGATAAATATTTGCGTCGGTTGGTCAATAACTGCTTTTCGGCACATTTCTTTTTGTTTGACCTCAGCGTTCAATAGTATACATTAGTTTTGTCAGGCTGGCTGAATATATTGGCGAAACTGAATTGTTATGGACAAGCACAAGGGTGATACAGATAAATGCAGGAAATGCCAATGTGAATTTGAAAAAAAACGGTTTTATTCCAACTTCCCCCCTACAATTCGAAAATAAGGTTAGACAGCAATTCTTTTTCGCTCATTGTGACCCAGAATTTTGTCCAATACACTTTGCTACTTTCATCCATGCACATCTCGTGTCGCCAAGTTAGAACGATTCAGTTAATTGCCATTCAGTGTTTGAAAGGTTATATGAAATAACTTTTAACGGGAAAAACAAACATAAAGCGTCTGTTTTAAGACCAAACTAGGGGGTTGTGTGAACTAACTCACATTTTTGCCCCAGTTGTAACCAAGTTCTTTTAGTGGCTAGGCGATGGTGCAGGTGTCGCGAATGCTCGGAGCCTTAGAATGCAGGTAGCTGCGTCTTCTTTCTTCCCTCAGTGTGTGCGTGTGTGCGCACTTCTGTGCGCAGGGCTGATGAATGTTTATAAACTTGCCTCGCCTCTCTCCCGTGCTGCCATGCTGCCCACCAGATGCGAGCGAGCGAGCGCGACATGGCGGGGAGCGCACGCACGACCAAATGAGACGCACGCACACACGCGTTCACAGGTGTGGTCGGGAGGCCAATAGCCCACGACACGACCCGTGGCACCCGACAGCCCAGGGCTGTGGGTTAAAAAGGAAAATGTGAATCAATAATGAACAACGTTACATCAGTTTTTCATAAAGGTGGGTATTAAATTACTTTATATTCCTAGAGATTCTAGTACGCACAACAGAGAAGTTCATATGTCGGTTCCAAAGTGCTGACCATGTGTATAACAGTCAATTAGTTTTTTACTCTTAACCTCGCTGCAGATACCAAATGGTGGAAACCCCCTTCTAGCTTCCTTTCAGACTCCGCGCACCTGCGGAAGCAAAGAGTAATCTCATGAACCCAGAGCTGGCTAGGTGGCCGAAGGTAGCATTGCTGTGATATGATATGTGGTTATGTCAGATGCCCTTGTGAATGCTGAAGTTGTTGTACATAAATGCCAATATGGGAGTCGTCTAGTTGGAGTCAGAATGTATGTGTGTAGTAAACTAATGCATCGAACCTAATGTTTATATTTCCTCAACATGCCATCTACTAAAATTTATATTCTATCGAAATTAACATTTTGAAACTATCAATGGTAGGGATTCAGGCCACTTAAAATGTAACATGCCAGGTTCATCAAGTGGGAGGCATAATTTGTAAGGCTTCTTCTCTACCCATCCTCTTCTTTTAGTACATAGCAATAGTGCCAGTGAATTGAGTAGCTAAACGTTCACCTTAAACTAGAACTAAGTTCCCAAACGGAAGTAATTGGAATCCAGTTGACATAATTATTCCTATGTTGTGAATATTTAATGCAAGACTGCAAATGAGTCCTCTCCTTATGACATTTCTCATTCAATAGTGCGAAATGTTGAAAGAAACTGAACATGGAAATCACACATCCTGCAGTTGGTTTCAAATATTTAATAATAATCATATCGTGGAGTTTACCCTTAACAAAGATTACACTTTTAAGCATTCCGTTCCATTTGGAACCGTCGGCACCAGCAACTCAAGAAGTCGGTACTTCTTTTAATAGCCAACTTCTACCTAGACAACACTGCAACACTACATTTACCAGGTACTAGCCATATTCACAACATGAAGTTTATTCTTTCATAATACTAGGTTTCTGAAGCATCGATTTCTGTGAAATACTCATGATGTGGATAATTTCAAGATCTTGTGAATCCACAGGAAACCCAAACTTTTTTTGTTCTCACATTCTTTTTTACTTAATCTAAACTAATTTAAGTAGAACAATAAAATATCACATAAAATATTGAAGTACTGCTGCTTACCTGCCGGCAGCTAGACTTAACTGCTAACATTTCTAGAAACACTAATACCACAGAATTACTTTGAACCTAAAGATACGCAATGATTGTCAAAACATTTAAAGTGTTTTTTTTTCGACTTTTCGTGGTCATATTTTAGACCGTGGTCTTGGCTGCATTGATAATTTGCAACTTCCAAATGAAGAAGCGAGCAACCTGTGTAAGACCAAAGTCGAGAATTTACCTGCATTACTTGAGAATGGCTGAATCAAGGCATTTTTGCCGCTGCAATATTTTTTACGTGGGACTTGCTTAGTTTAAGATTAATTAAAGACACTCGACTAACTAATATGAACTAGTCGTTCACAAAAGTCTTCCGTATTAGAGGCCAATTCTGTGTTAATTTAAGGAAAGATAACTTAAGGATATGAAGAAGTTACATAGTGAATTGATAAATGTAAACAGGAAGGTTGGTTCTCTTGCAGTTCTTGCGTCTACAACTTCAAGTACTTTCTGAAAAAAAAGGTAGTGGAGGAGAAAAAAATGTGCATGCGTCGAAATTCGCTAAAATTGGATTGGGGCCATACGACGTAGACATTTATCGCAGTTCATGCAGACTGCCATTAGAAAACGCATGTAGAAAGTGTGGTTTGTGCAGAAATTGACCTTGTTTGTAAACAAATATTTCAAACCAGATAAAATTGGTAACAAAATTTAGAGGCCAAGACCTATCATTTTCAAATATTACCTAATGTGTGACGAGGTAATTCATTGGAACATGAAATCAAATCTTTGTCAATTTGTTTTAAGAAAAACTATTTTTAAGGCCGTCAAACTGCTGGAATTATTTAAACAGTATACGAGTTCTAAGTTTTCGGCGGCCTTTAAGTACAGTGAGCTAACTGTTATTACGTGAAATGACAATCCCAATGGGAAGCCATTTACACCTTGGTGGGTTTGCGGGGATATATCAAAATGAAATTCACATTAAACCGATTCTCTTAGTAATGAATGACTAGATGTTTTATTTAGGCATGCGCTAAATTATCAAATTAGGGGATTCAACTTTACTGAATGCAAAAACACTCCGAAACTGCAAAATTACACACCAGAAAAAGGATGTGGAAGACACCTTTCCCGGCAAATTGTGACTAAAATCAAAATATTTACGTTTAGACAAAAACATGGTTACTTGTTGCATGTTCTTTTAACCAAACGCTTTGATTTCACCAAGTGACATCTTAAATGTAACAATAGGACAGACTGCTAAAGTGCGCAGTAACTTCCATTAATTCATTTTCTCTAAAATATAAATAAATAGTTACGACAAAGCGGATGTTAAAACCAATGATTGACAACATTGAATTTGTCACGTACCAATTAAATGAATTGTTTTTTTGTTGATTTATCTTTTGGAGCATCCTTCGGTTAGGTATCTGAATTTCCAATTTACTCAGCAGTTTTCACTCAAATGGTTAAAATCTGGAAACAATTTTTTTAAACACAAACTCCAGACCATATTCAAAACACATTTGCAAATTCGTAATTTAGAACGACACCACACATTGATTGTGATGGCATAGTGGACAAATAATTCTTTTGGCTTTTCAGAAGTCATTAATGGAAACGTCTCTTGATTGATATAAGAATATTGGGTATTTTATGAATACTTAATGTCCTTATTCTGGCTACGAATACGTATCTCAATCCCCAAGCTAAAAACTAATTCCTCTACACAGAATGGATTGGTTTCAAATGCTATTCCAAAATATGCGTTGACCAGAGATTCTGTCTTTTAACGTGACTTTCTTTGTAGTGATATTTAGGAGCTGCAGAAATGTATTCTTTCCATATTTCTGATATTGCCCCGAAATTTATTATATTCACCTTGAAGCCATGATTTAATAAAAGATGACTACGCCTGGCGCCAGCTGTCATTAATTTACAATTTGATTACTTAACTACTTTGCAAGTAATCGTTTGGCCGCTTATTTTTAGTGCTATTTGAAAATTCGCATAAGTGGTCTGGTTGTGAAGTCAAATGCATTCACACCTTCCATTAGTCAAAATGCTTACCACCTAATTAAACGCAAGTATTCTCTTGAGATAAAAGATGTTGACTCATTTGCTGCAAAAGGTTTCGCACCTGATTTTACCAGACGCAATTACATGCGATTCAGCTTCTTTTAATGTTCTATCCCCTGTTTGTGTGCGCTAATCAACGCAAGCAGCGGATTCAGCTTTAGGAATCGCTCAACTAACATCGCTAGCAGAATAGTCACTCATTCTTCATTGATATAATGCACCGATAGTATCCGAAAATAATATCCCTCAATACGTGGATTGAATGATCACGTTCATCTTGTTCGTAAAGGCTATATCCCGTTTCAACCTATGTAGTGAAAAAATACATTGAGGTAGAGTGCATGGACTTTAAAATCCGGAATAAATTTGAGTGAACCTTTACAAAGTGGAAAACCAAAACGTTATATAACACGAGACAATTCATAACTGGGTGATTTTGACAGTGTAACAATGCAATTAGTGCCAAGCCCATCAACAGTGCTTTGTACTATAACAATCCAGATATGGCAAATTGTCGCTAATGGCTTAAATATTTAAGAGCAATAAGTTTGATCCTTGTCATAAATGGAAAACAAATCGTCGGTTGAAGGTAAAAAGGAACAACTGAAATTGAAGCTGATCCTAAGCAAACGATTAATGAACTAGCAACAAAATTTAAACCTAGTGCTACGTGATATAACAAGGCGTAAAAAAAGGAGCGTAAGTTCACAGTTGGCTTCTCCTATAGTAGTCAACGATGCACTTTTATTTAGGTTGTCACGGCATCCATGTCCTCAATGCTTTATCATTAGAGCAGGCGACCCTAAAAATACAATTTTTAGTATAAGTGCGACCCCTTTACACGCACACACACACACTCAGTTATGTTACCTTAAAAAAATGTTCTTTTCTTCCATAAAGTATTGAATGATAACTTCTAATCATCACGCGTTACTGAACGCATATTGGAAGACATTGTTTTGCCTAAAACATGCGCATCTGAATATTCGAAATAGTTTTATTTGCTGGCACGAAAATGCCTGGCTCTTATTTCGTCAAAACTTCTTTTTATTCATTAGGACTTGGGGGGTGTTGAGGATAGCACATTCCCCAAGACAGCTCACTCAGTTCTATTCAAATGATCACAATTCTGCTGTCATATGCACCCACAACACCCAATTACAGCTCATCACTCAGTGTTAATTACTCAAATCATCGATCTTAGATCGCCCAGGCATACATAAGTGGCCAGAGTATACAAGGTATACACTTGAGTATACAGAGTATACACTTGACTCCCGCCTCGATTTCCTGTCTCATCAGCCAATTACACTGACTGCTCCGTCGAGCTACTATTTGTTCAGGTAAAAGTGATCTAATCGGGAAAATTCCCCCTTTTTGGTAGCTATGAAAATTGAATTTGAAGTGTGCTTTGTCTTCGAACTACCATCGTTTTAAATCAATTTATGCCTATCACAAGATCTAAGTTACGATAGAGTGAAAGCATATAACTGTACAGACAGCGCTTTTAATTTATGACTAAATTACCTATACCACTTGAAAAGAGTTAGATGTACATCGTGCGAAATTAAGGACAAACCAGAAGTTCCAGTTTCGATTAATCATGGCAGAGAAAAAGTAATAAATATAAATTTGATCCTTCAATTCCCTTTCTGTTCAAAAATCAACAGTGAAGGTCATCATGTCTTGGGCCTTAACGATGACAATTTATTTCCTAACACTGAGATTTGTTACTGTTCCATTAAGTCTGTATATACGATCACACTACTGACAACACCTCAGGGATGCCATAACGTTATAGAAACACCATAGCTACGTTCACGCCAGCAACAATTCATTTAGTGTTAATAACTTGACCAAATCATCTGATCAAGCTGTTCAAAGCACATGAAAGAGGCACGTTTGTTCACTGGTCATTGGACATTCATCACTTGTCCTTGTCCTCTCAGCAGAAGAGAGTTTTTTTACCGTCTTGTGCTGAAACTGTGGTCAATTTTACTCGTGTTCTCGCATTCTGTTTTGCCACCGGTACCTGGAGCGTCGTGTTCTTTTACTTAGGCATTGATAGCATGTTTAAAAAGAGCATGCATTTTTAAGGTGAAATCACAAATAATTTGTTAAGGGGTATAACTTTCGTTCTTACTGCTAATTTACTTCCAAGTATAAATCACTAGCAAGCCTTTATCTTTGAGTACTGGAAAATTTTCGACAAAGATGACAACATTGCAATCGCCTTCATTTGAGATGCCTGGAAATGTAAAACAAAAAGGGTGGTTTATTGTGATCATCATTTTTAAGCCAATGTTATGTCATTGGAACATACGTCAGTCTCTTTAATCGTAATCTTTGAAATATGGTTTCGACGTTTCTTTGACTAATGTTTATTCCTAATCCACCGCAATGATGAGTTTTTACTTCCCTGATATATGGTCAATCGCATTTAGCACCATTCCTGTTACCGAGTTAACTTTAGGCAGGGCTTTGGGTTTAAATGCTTTAATTTGTCCAAAAATGCCATGGAAGATATTACTGTGATAGTTCCATCACAGATGCAAATGTGTATACAAAAAGGCGTGATAGACTTGGATTGACGGTCGAATAGTTTTTAACGTAGAGGGCAGTGTTTCTCAAAAAAGGGTAGAAATCTATCGATAATGATGGTTTTTCGCATTATGCCTGTGAATGTTGAATTATTTTTCTTTTTCTTCATATGGTAATGAACATTTTAAGAGGTCTTACTCATCATTCGTTGAGATATTGCACCTGTTAGCTATAATTATTTCTATTCTATCAAACTTTCTTATGATAACTAATTTCATGCTTATTTCGTGAGTGTTCCGCACTCTGCAGATCCAGCCTATTCCATTTTAATGCGCGTGTCATGAATTCTGGGTGAAGACCAACTAGGGGATAAGACGAACATAGATTGTCCGTCTAGTGGGATGAGTAGAGATCGGGTGACATATATGAACTGGGGTTTTTACATTTTGCCTATGGTGTTGTAATAAGATCTTTCGTATCAAATGCCGCCATCCCAGATGTAATGGTCAGTGGCATATTCAAGCCCTATTGGGATGAAATAGAGCACTGAGCCATTAGAAGTAATTTTATTGGTGCAGCATGTGCTAGGAAGCCAAATATTTACAACAGTCTTTCCAAGTCTAGCTTTCTGGTTTCACTTGTCTCCGTTTATCAGTGAAACATCTGTGGAAAGGGTTGACTAAACATGAGGTGAGCCATTTGAGACACCTCTTCCGTTTAATGCAGACAAGGTTCGAAAATGTCGACGTGCATTACCCAGCAGACCTGATTGTAGTGGTGCCACTTATTACACTGTCCTCTCCTCCTCCCCCAAGCAAACCCCGCCTACTGCTTCGGGCTGGGTTTTCTGGGTCCATTGCGGTGTAAAATCATAACCCGTGACTATTGGCATAATCCGCCAATCCCCCTCAATCTAGCAGCTCACAAATCTAACCGATTCCCCAGGCGGTCGCGTTCTCTAAGCAGTGCCACCGGCTCCCAAGTGTCATTCTCGGCATCGGTGCCTAATGAGCGTAATATAATGTGTGAGTGGCTAACGTGACTGCTCAACGACTTTTAATTAACTGCCTGCAAACTCGAGCACTTAACATAGTGGCCCCCACTACTGGCAACCCCTCGCGCAAGTGTAGTGAACCGCTTCAGGACTTGGCCCTTACTCAAAACTTTAACAACATCTTATTCAACAAACTTCGACACGGACTTGTGAGTTTTTATCAATCAGCATTGCTATTTATGGCAAACAAGTAGAGATCTGGTCTGGTATTAATTTGAAGGCCCTGAAGGTCATTTATAACGTAATTTTTATCAAGCTAAGATAATAAAACCTCGTTAAGTGTTCGTAGAACCAACCATTCTAGAAAGTATCGAAGTAATTAAAATTAAATTCGATATATATTCAGTCGGGAAAATGAAACCAGAACAGTTTTCTCGAATTAAGAACCCAGATTTTTGGCTGCACTTTTAACAAAGTTAACTTTTATCATAGACTTTATTTATTATCTTCATTTCTAACTAACAATACCCCCACGGTGTTCACGTCAACATCGGACAAGTCCACATTTGCATTTTTTTTTACTTTGTTTAGCTTCATCTGTTGGCTGACAGAGCTCATGATCACAACCTGACCATCTGCCAAAGTTGTCAACACGAATGGCCCATACGCTATGTCCGACCAATACAATGTTCGCTCCCATGATGTAGCTGTATAAGCACTTAGGTGGTAGGAGAATGCACCGCCTCACTGAGCACAGTGTATTTGGGCTACTTCAATTCGGTGGTGTTATTTTCAACCGCTTAGCTGCATTCAAGAAAACTTCTAAAGTACATAGCTTCATTGCTCTACGGAAGCGTTTGTTGTGGGCTCCAGCATGTGGTCTCGAACCGCGCCGGGGCCACTGAGTTAACTCCGGCCCGACTACGCTTCCCTGCTACCATTTACTCCAGAGTTCAACCAAGTTGGTGTTGTATCGTGTGTGACGTTTGCGCGTGCGTATTTATGCCTCAGATGTGTGTCATAGATGTGCCAACATTGAGACCTAGGTGTGAGGATAATCTAGGATAATCGTTCGAGCTAATAGGAGGGGAGTTAATGATCCGCGCTGCTGGCGACAAGCTGCGAAAAGAGGGACGCTGTGTCGGAGGCTGGAGTGGCCGGATTAACGACGGAGAATTAACGCAATTTACAACGGGTTTTCTCACTGGCTAAGAAATAATCTATATGTAAACCTCGATCATGCGTTATTGACAGTAAAGTGTTTATTTCTTTGGCCATGATCTATTTTTTTGGATAATTTACACATAATTTTGAGTGCCGATGGAATTATTTATTCAAAAATGGCATATTAGATAAAAAGGGACGAAGAAATAGACGCCCATTAGTGACGTAGTAAGAAAATATCTTAGAGAAGCGCAGTAAGTTTGTGGGAAGTAATAATCGACTGACTCCTTGAAACCAGATTTATTGTCCCGATGGCTGATTATTCGGAGGAACAGCTTCGGCGACGTCGGGTTTAAAGGTCTTCTCCTCGGTCACGTTGAAGATAGGATTCGCCGTGCATGGGTCATTGCCTAAGTACGTTGCTTTTACGTATGATCCTAGTTCCAGGTGGACCCTACCATCGTGCTAAAAGTAATTGCAGTACGTGCAATCGTTTATTTCTGTTTAAGTCTTTCAGACCTCTTACTCCGTTGTGCTTTTTTCGCATAAGCGACAAGAACAAACATGGTTAGGAGCAAATTTTGTTTGTGCACTCTTTGCAGGCAATTCAGATCGGTTGTAGATAGATATGACTAAGATGTGTGCTTTACAGCCTTGCGAGTCGCCCATCGGAATTTAGCAAAACAACCAGCGCAGCAATTGACATTCAAAAAGAAACACTCAAGGTCGTCTAATTAGTGCCACTCAAGGACTCAAGAATCCGCCCACGCATTTGAAAAAAAATAAAGACAGGTGACATTAAAAAGGCGCACCAGAACATGCGTAATTTATAGAATCCTGTTTTGAGGAGCTACCAGACATCGGAGGAAGAAAGTAGCAACTGAATTGGCTAGTGCAACCTAGCGATTAAGTTCCTCGTTGCACAAAACAATAGGAATGGTGCGTATCGGTGATTAATTAAAGATTGCAAGAAATGGAGTAAGGCATTTACAATGGTACCATTAGCATAATTTGTAGTTAGAGGCGCCCACTTAAAAAATTGCGTAGTTTGCCTTGAAAGGGCTGTTTACATTTCTGTTGGCCTGTTCACATTCACTTCTACCCGGAAACGTTTGAAGAGAGCAGGATTGTTGTGAGAGATGTTCAACTTGCTATCAAAATCACAATGGTCTAACGCAATGAAGACTGTTGTGCTTAATAGAATGCGTAAATTTGTTTACATCCTTTAAAACCGGAAGTGGTTTATGCTGCGTACAGACACTCAAAAAACCGAAAAACTTTATATGTTTAGAGTCCAACAACCTTATTAGGTGTACACCTGTTGATCCACTTATTAGGTTCCTGCAATGGCGAATCGTCTACCTCTACGATTTTAGTGGCTACAAATTGAATACTGGAATATACGGCAACAACAAATAATGTTGAATGCTGTTGCAAAGTCGCGGCAGGTTGTCTAATGTTACAACAGAATCTGGGGAAGTAAGACTAACAGCCGATTCATAAGGTAGTTTAGTTTTCATACCACTTAAGCTAAACTGGATAAAAGCCTCCGAAATTTAAACACCTTCTGGATTATCAGGAGGATTAATTCAAAATGTATAAAAAGATATCGCTATGAAGTTAATCCAAGCAATACTATCTATAGAGACGATCAAACTCAAGTGAAACCGTAAAATGTTTAGTTAACTTCAGTTTACATTTGACCAAACACACTTCACTAGGACGCTACGCTAATGTCAATTGAGTTGCTGGTGTTTACTAGTTTAATGGTTACGGTCCAAGTTATTGCCTTATTTCGGTGTTTAATCCTTTCTACCTATAAGTGCATTGTGAACACAGATAACCACGAATTAACCTGTAGTGCTTGCATAGATTAACTAAGCCACTTGGTTCTTGGGTGCCTGTAAAATTAATAAGAACTGACTGCAACAATTAGGTATAATTGGTATGGTGGTTTTCAAATAAACTGCTACTTCGAAGCCTTGAATTTTTGTAAATTAGAGATGAGATTCAGTCCTCCTGGACTAACTGAATGGAAATATATAAATGATAACCTTGTTTTCCTTCACCGTCCCAAGGGAGATTTTGTTGCTTCCGCAGATTTTAAGGCATAGAAAAGTCCAAAGGACTTACATTGTTCAATTAGATATGATTAATCGTGATAAAGTCTTTACAGACGACCCGAAGCTTCGATGTTCTGAATTTCGCTAGGAGTATCAATAAACACAAATGATGGAAATAAACGGGTGAGGTGATAAGTGAGTGCATGTGCACATTCGAAATCGGCAAAGCAACAGTAAGAATCACCACACTGCATTCCGTCATAAGCTAAAAAATCAACCCATGCAAAAGCCGTACCGTCGGAGCGCAGGCTTCTCGCCTCATCAGCGGTCTTTCAGCGCGACGCTATTGGAAGAAGAATAAGTGCCTATTGAAGACTTTTCAGTAGGGAGACTGCGTTCCCCCTATATTTCTCACCCCCAACATCAGGCTCTGCGTTAAGACCAAACCAGACGGCGTTTTATGCCGAATCGTAGACATTCCACACGAACTATGCAGAAAATGATGATCTTGAATGCAACCTAACATGAACGATATTTGATTTCGAACAGTGAATGATTAAGTTCTCCTTAATCTACCAAATGCACACAACTCGTCCAAAATTGCATGTGAGTTCCCAATCAAAAGAACTGCATATGACGGCCAGTCCCACTTCTGATATCCGCCACTTCAAAAACTAGTGACTATTTAAAATTTGCCAGTCACAATAACGCATTTAATGGCAGAATTTGGGTTTAAAAGAAATTGGACAAAAACAAATTTTGCCGAAAATCATTAAGTATGCCACAGCTCTTAAACGAAATGACTCATCATTGTTTCTGTCAGTCGGCTTTCAGAGAGAAAACAAATTCCAAATAGTTGGGTGTCCTGTTACACGGGCACAGGAGATCCCACAAGTGCACTATTTCGTGACATTAAACAGACTGCGCCGGACAGAAAATCGGTTCTTCTGGACTTTGAACCCGGGAAGATGGAGGGGTGCAGAATGTGTGTGTGGGTGTGCATGAAGAGTACAAAAGGGAAATTTGCCATCATTTTGTAGCGACGCACCAAATTAAATGCTGCGAAGTAGCAACCTATGCCTCGAAATGGTACCCGCCATCAAGCGTAAATAAAATTGTTAAGGGTTGCAGTGTGGTCAACGAGCAAATGTCCCTTGGTTAAATACTTAAGCATCAGAGTAAACTTCGACCGGTTTTATCTTATACCGGCTCCTCTATCTCGTAGATTTTAGGTCCCGCCTATCTTCAGTTTACTGCTACCAAACCTAAGCGAACATAATGCCAGTCAAAGTATGTCGTGTACAAATTCAGTTCACATTTGCACCTTCCCGTTTGGTACCGAAAACATTAGTACGCGAGATTACGAGCATCAGCATTTTCCCCAGTCTAAAACGTATCAAAGGTCACGCAAGCACTTCAACCTGAGCCAGGGGAAAACTACCGCAGTGTAGAACGTTAATTTTGTATTTGCGTGATCGAAGCTACTGCCGATATGAGAACAACAGTGGTGGTAGGTTGCACAAATCACCTAACAGACACCTTAAATCAATGCCTTGTGGGCTTATAATAGGAAATGAATAATGAGATGGAACACTGCGACACAAACAGGGAATTACTTACGCCTCTTGTAGTTTTTATGTGGCTGACATCGACAAAAGCCGTTGACTCCTTATCAAGAAGCCGGATCCAAATTCCATCATCCCTTAGAGCATTTAAAAAAAGTAGCCTTTAATAGTCATAGATTATGGCATTTAGGGTCAAATGACATAGCTTACTATAAATTATCAGCACTACAAACCTAGCATGTTAAGTTAGTGGCAAACGTACTGGACGTTAAGGACTTCACCAGGATAAGTTTCCCCAAAACGAATAGTTCCCTAAAAGGCAGGAGCCGTCAACTTGGAGAGTGTAGAATTAAGTGAACGAAGAAACGGTGAAATTTACCCGTTTCCATTGACGATACATGGGGAAACTCTCGATGGCGAATTCAATAGCGGCGACGATGAAAGCAATTATGAGGCCGACAAGAACAATTATAAATAGCCCACCCAATTCCTTCAGCGAGAACGGTTTCTTTTGCATGTTAATCTTCTCCCATGACACAGGACAGTCGCCTATTCCAAGAGCTCTGAAATACGTACAACACGCGTTTCAGTGACGAAAGTCAAGACGAATGAGTCCACATCCCACTGAAAACCTGTAGATCATTCACAAATCCCTACCGTTTGAAAAACCCGGTTACAGGTCTTACCGAGAAGTAAATTTACATGTTACTTTTTATAGGGTTGGCGCCTTTGCATTCACCGAAGCCACTGAATGCTAGCATCCATTTTTGGACCAAACAATCTTGGAATGTGCGAATTAGGGACCTGTGGAGTTCATTTTAATCTCTTAAAATGAGCGACCAGAGTGTCGAACAATCTTTTTCTCGATGGTCTAACATTTTAGTCTCCAGTACCATCCAAGATCACATGGAACACGCCAGATAGGCAAGGTGGGCTCGCAGGTGAATGAGAAGGAGGTGCAGCGGATCGCCTCGGCCCCGAGTGTCGTGGTGAATCTACCAGACTCGTCCGTTCGAACTGCCGATCGAGTAGTCGCGTTTATGAGCAATGATCAGGCATGAGATTACCGATTCCTGCACATTGGGTCGGGCTTGCGAACCATAAGGTACACGTAGGGCAAAGTTGCACGTTGGTACGGGCTCTTAACTAGCAGGTAGTGTAAGCGACACTACGGAAGCACAGTTTCTGCAAAAAGTTTATCAAGTGCATAAACATTATTTTCTGACTAGTAGGCAGACTTACCTACTTTCAATGGCAGTAAACACGTGCTCATCGCTGAGACTGCTAATTTGTTGAGTTAACCGGTTAGCGAATGCATCGTCTCCAGATAACAGAAATCCCAGGCCGTACAGGTATTCAACGGGTCCCGACTGAAATTTTTTTAAAACGCAATTCATTAAATTACGTCACCAAATTTATCTAAACGAGTTCCCGTGTGTCTGGACAAAAGCACAAGGTGTTAAATTAATTGTGCAAAGGATACAGCACCCCAAATTCCAGACTCACGTGTGCAGAAGTAAATTGACTTAGCTAGTATGAAGAACATCAGCCACTTTTGTAGCATAAATTTCAAGTGACAACTTCGTCATTGTTAGAAGTAGCGAAAAAGGACCTACGACGCCACCTTGAGGTTAACAAGTAAGTCACAGTCACGTGAACAAGGAGCCCATGAAAGAACACTGATTTCTGTTATATTGTTGTCTCTGTTAAGCTTAAGTAAAACTTAACAATTTAACCAAGAAGTAAGCATTTTATATTTCTGGTATATGAAAGGCTGCTCTATTGGTAGAATAAATTACCATAGTCAGCAGTCAAGCACGCTCAGCTGCCAACCGAGTAATGGTGTGCCTTATTCGACTCACTTCAAAATTTGGTGACTTAGTCAAAATTAATACTGTTTTAATATTAAATAAAGTTCTTTCGTATGCACGAAAACGCAATCAATGGTAATAGCATAATACTATATCAAAAAACTGCCTCAATCTAGACATCAACAGAGGCAAAACAAGCGTCAAACAAACAACAGGACATTAAGTGTAGTCATCATTCTGCTCATTCACAGTTAGGAAAACAATTGTAAGGATAAATTGGAGTAGGAAGTTGTAACACTTCAATTAGTTGAGATATTACATAGTCTTGCCTGCCAAATAAGAAAAACCGACTAGTGGGAAAACTGTTTCAAGTCCATTTGTTAAAAAATCCTGTACTTGGCGATGCTGTTTGCTTTTGAAGTGAGATGCCAATCACTGTATGACAAAACATAAGGTAAACTATAGAACAATATCTAAAGCTACATAATATAATTAATCATCCTCTTATTCAATGAGAACAAAAAAGAGTGAATTTGGACGTGAAGTTAAATTAGAAAATGTGATTCAAGTAGGTAGCCAAGTATTAGGAATCCAAATTCCCAAAAATGGGGTTTTATTTCTCTCCCTATAAATCCCTGGCTTAAATACAGTTGCATTTTCGCAGGTGAGACTTATTGTCGATATAGAAACCCATTAGGCGTTCGCAGAAATGGCGAAATAAATTTACAGAAACAACTTGAAGTAAAGAAAATGACTTGTACAAAATCCATCAGCGAAATTAATTCAATTCGCAATTGACACAGGAATCGTGTGAAATATATAAATTTAGACAATCCAACCAGAAGTAACAGAGTGTTGGTTGCTATTTTGAGTCTACCATCAGCATTGACGCCTCATCGTCGCGTTCAACAATGACAGCTTTAGTGGCGACTCCCACAATCGAAGTCCATCGACTCATCGCTTCCTTGCTGGTGGCAAAGTTAACGCTATCAAGGGTTCATAGAGGTAGCAAAAGAATGTAATCGAACAATTGAATTTAATCTTAATTCAATTTTGATAATAAGTCTACAAAAGGGATGGGTTGGATTCGCCCAACGCTAAACTTCACCACAGTTCATTAGCACAGTCCATGTGAAGCTTGATACTTCAAGACGTTACATGGTGCTCGCACAAATAACGCATTTCAAATGTCGCTAGAATTAATTTCACGCAAGTCCCTGCCATTAGTCTGGATATCACTGTAATCGAAAATGTTTTCGAAGTTTTAAAGAATAACTTCTTACTGCCACGTAAGAGCATAATACAACTCTCCGCTTCACACCGCTGGTTAGAGGAATTTAACACCCTTCCTCGAACCCCATTGCAACTCAAGTTTGCGCAAATACATTGCCATACGTTTCCACCAGACTGCGTGAATAGACAGATAGATAACGTGTTTAATCATTAAAGACTTGTATTTACTTTAGATTACTTTACTTAAAAAAGGTTTAACGATTAGCCCAAGGGAACTAGTGAAAAATGACAATGACAAATCTCCAATACAGTCCATTTCTTTTTCCATTAAATATACCAACATATGTTCTCATAATGGTTGCAATTTTGTACTGTTTAAGTTTAGTTTCTTGGAGTTGTAAAGGAGAACTAGTATAGCCCATGGGTTTATAATTTCCTCGATGAGTTCTGGACCACGCAATAAGTTCCACTCTACTTAGTACCAATTTTTACTAAAATTAGAGGTACTTTCAAGGAAACCATTTTGGGTCTGCAAAACGAACATTTGACCTATTTACCATGAAGCACTTTACGTGTTTGCACCTAACATGAAGCCTAATGACTTTACATTAATTACCCCTCCACGCAGAGTTTAAATAATCCATAGCAAAGAAAGCCACAACCAAAGGGCAACATGGCAATCACCTGCACCACCTGACAATATTACGGGAACTCAGTTAACAATGAATGAAAATGGGGGCTCGAGTAATGAAGCTGTTAGGACTACATTAAATTGAAGAGTTTTGTTTCGGGACAAGCTAGAAGCACCTTTGAACTGTAAAGCGGCAAATCAGAGGCTTAAAGGGAGGACAAACGAAGGCTGTCCTGGGAAGGGCAAGGCCATTTATAATTTTTAATCTGAGGCTTACCTTACCACCTAAAGGAGCGACCTGCAGAAGCAAACATTTTTTATGAACTTTAGTTTTTGTGGTTTAAGATATCAAATTTGAATATCTAATCAAGCAAATTGTTAGTGCTAGGTAACGAGCGATTGCAATTATCAGTATTTAAAGATGAAATCTGTAAAACACTACAGGAATAAAAACAGATTCATCAGCTAGTGCTAAATTAATAATCTAAGCAAATACGTTGTCATGCAATGTCGCAAAGATCGCACAGAAAAAATATTACGCAGTTTTATTTCCCATAAATATTTCTGTGAATTTTCATGCGCACTGTTTTCGCACCCAACTAGGCAAACTCGGAACCAATGCCGAATGAAAAAGAGGTCAACAACCGTCTAGAATTCGCATGAAATTGAAACAGTAGATTAACACATTCTTAGGCTAGAGTTGGAGCTAGGTATTTAATTATGCATTACCAAAATCTGCGACCTAATACTAGCGTTTAATAACCGATATAAGGAAATATTAATTTAATGTCGTTAAGCCTAAAAATAGCCTAAAACAGCAAACTTATACATTTTGAAACATTGATGAACTTAATGGAGTTTTGTTGAAAGCAGAAATTTGCTAATCAACCGAGTGGCAAGAGTAGAACAGAAGCTTTCGAATTAATTGATTCATGTCAAAACCTGAACTTTTCTCATCATTCCAGTCACCTTCAGTGGCAACACCAGTTGATCATCGCACGTGCAAGCTAAGCAACAGGCGATTTGTGCGTAGTAAACGGTTGTGTCTCATTCGCCTACGGTCTTTACATTTGCCTGTGGTTTGTATCGTACAGCAGCAAATGCCAAACTCAATCTTTTTGATCAGTGAAAAAAAATTATCATAGCTGTCTGCACATGACTAACCCACCGATTAAAAAAAATTCCCGACAAATTTATCTCAGTTCAATAACAATTAAGTGCCATTTTTTAAGTAATTTTGGAAACATATTTATAGCAGCATTTGGAGGTAAGGATAAATTTTTGCCAGCAGTTGTTTGCGATTTTATCGTGCACTGATTAAACTTTTTCATAGCAATTCTTCGTGATGATAACCACCACGACACCAAATCAACTACAACGTATCATTGACCATGTTTTTTATTCAAAATAAACAATACTGCATATATAGATGATCAAATAGTGAATGGACATCGCGACATTTACGATTTTCTAAATGTGTATCGTGTGTAACCTTGCACATTAAAAAACCACCAAGAAGACTAAAATCAGAGTGCTAGCTAGTACCTTTTCCAGATTACATTCTTCACTCAAAATTTGTGTTGCTTCAAGTCGACTGGCAATGAGAATGAGATGGTCGTCGTTGGAGATTCGGTCTGAAGCCTCCGCAACACTCATAACGATCATTTCTTTTGGCCATTCCTTTTCAGCTTTAATCCACAGATCCCTCAGCACAGCATCCCTTGATTGCTTGAAAAAAATACCTCTAATGAGAGAGATTTGGGTTCTATTTAAGGACATTGAAAAACATACCAAGTACTAGTGAAGTAAATGCTTAATCCTGATCACTTTGAAGACACATTTGTAGCACTTTTAAACTGCTAAATTCTATTTGGTACCTCCATTAATACAAGAAAAACTGTGCGTCAAAAGGTTTATTTTCCTGTGATAATAAATGGGCCATAAAATAAGCAGATTTTGCCTCCGAGTTTCAAAGCGAAGACCCTATTATTATTATTATTATTAAGACATCCCGTCATTGCCCTCAAGCCGTAGAAATTGGATACCAATTATCAAACTTAAATCGGGAATAAAAAAAGGCCCCCTGTTATGAGCTACCTGGAAGGTAATTAGGATACGGTCGCTGACAATTTAGTCCCTCACCTTTTCCCCCTAGTTAACAGCATTTTACAGCAATCTACCTGAAAGGTGGCTGGAATAAATGTTCATGGCCTTCCTGTGTAATTACCAATACAGATATCATTTTCTATGTTGCGCTACCGAAAACTGGAATGTTCCTTAAGTATGGCTTCCCCTCCGTCAAACTTAGTACATACGTAATACTCAAGCGACTTTGGGGACCACATGAAATCATAATCTTCCAGTGACAAACAAAAGATTTTGTGAGCAGAATGCATTTCCTCACTATAAGCTCCTGTCCACAACTACCAGGTTTTCCAACAGGACAGAAAATGGATATGAGAAGGGGTGTTCATGTACATCAGGATGTTTTGGGGTTAATTTGACTCCAGCTATGCTTATATTCACGCTTCTCAGTCTGAAAGTCAATTAATAGGCCTGGCCTAAGAGCCATAACAAAAATTTGAACGTACAAGCACATACTTCTTGCGTACCGAAATAACTTCCTTTATTTTATGAAAAATTGCAACTAGAGCATCAAAATCAAAAAAAAGCCAAACTCTATCTTATTTTCTTTTTTTTCTTGAAAAGTGAAGAAATTTTAAAAAAATTCCCATTATTATTTGGGGTGGATATGGAAAAACTCATTTGTACTTCATATTTAAGCCGTTAAGTGGCCCGTTATTTGTGTAGGGGTTGCGCAATAAACAGCAAGATTCCTAACACGCATACGGCAATGAGCACAAATACAAAGATAGAGACGAACTAACCATAACTTACCATGAGCCTAGTCTCTTTGAGAGCCAAAAAGTACCGTGAGTCACCTATCAAGGCAGCTTTCCAAGTGCTGCACACGTGGGCATAGCGCAACTAGTTATCTACATAACTGATGATTAAAGCTGTCATCGGCACATCCGCCTGCTTAAGAACAGATTATTGTAATGTTAAATACGCAAGTGGAACATGAGCAAGAGCTACCACCAAATCAGTCGATAGGAATATCACCGAGTGATCTTGACCAAACCATCCTCTTGGAAATGTAAGTTCCTTGGTGTAATCTGTGCTACATAGACTGACAGGAGGGTTTATTTCTTTGACACTTAAAGTAATACTAGCTGTTTTTATTATATCTTGACCATAACTCCAGATAACACTACCGAAAACTTTCGCCATTTCTAAGAGCAAAAAATCATCCAGTGGACACATAATTTATCTTTTCTCGCATCCCATCGAACCTTCACCTTGGAAAGAGGGATAATTGTGAAGCGCCAATTAGTGGTTCCTTCAGTTTGTTCGGATTTCGGCCCATTGCCATCATGGAGCATAAAATATGTGCACAGGACTAATAGCTAAGGCCTATTAGGAGAAGCTTTTGCAAGTAGCCTGACCTCAAGATGATTAACATGTGACTCCACCTTCCCACAGACAGCTCTACGTGTGGACTACGAGAACAACTCACGCCTCAAGATCGGAAGGACGGTGGCGTCCGCCAGCTCCTTTCCTATCTAGCACTACGGCTTTCGATTGCTTTCAAGTCATTGTCCCACTTGTTACACTTTTATAAATGAAAATGACAGATCGAGTTAGCGGTTTTTATGCAAATCCATGGCTTTGAATGAATGAGGTGGAACATGCATAATTCTAGCATTGAAGGCAAAAAGTTATTCACCCGAAGAGTCTCATTGCCTTTATCACTAAGCCCTGATGGTTAAAAGATTTGCTTTCTAACACTTACCTATTAAGGTTTGGTAATTTAGTCGAGTGCACCTGGTGCATGTGTCCGCACGGTGGTGCAAAAGTAACTTCCACATGACCTACTAAAGTTTGTCATTACCTGACACCGAAATTCAATACTCCCAATTTAATTCTACCGCGTGTGGCTCAATCCCTATGCTTTGTGCCTGATTAGGTTTACCAACATTCGAGTTAGGTGGTGAGTCGCACTAAAGTGCGACCGTCAGATTTTAAGGCACCGAGAATCCACTCTAACTACCAGCCAAAATACTAATCAAGCGCAGTCAAGCCCGCAACCATGGGGGTGTAAAGAGAAAAAATTAGCTCGAGTGTAAGAGGGAGACCTCAAACAAGTGTTGTGTATGTACTCTTACTTGCGAAATTAGGTAGAATATAACGGCACTCTGCGATGTAAATTATAACCTGAAGACAATGTAAAAATGTAACGGTTTATTTTAAGTGCATTAAATTGCTTTTATTTCAAATTAGGGATATTTCCAACGACGATTTTACTTTATCTGTAGCTTTTCAAACACATTCACTACAAAGCAATAATTCTTTTCAAACAAATCTATCGCAACATTCAATAAACTGTTTAAGTATTTCAAGGTTGTGGTTGCAACTACACAATTAGTCGAAAATAAAAGAGTGTACATACCAAACTATTACACCAATGCATGCAAAAAGTTAATCTCAAAGTTATAAAACTACCAAAGCACGATTTATGTTGGGATTGGACGCATTTTGCAAAGCGGTTGAAAACAAATAAGACCGGTTTCGAGCTAGGTTAAAATTGTAGCCTACGAAGCATAACAAGACTCCAGCTATTATGCTCCTATGTGAATTCCTCACAGTGCTGCATTCAGGTAGCGTTGTGGGGTCGTCAGTGGAAAACCTAATCTGGTCGACTCCAGTGAGGCTGTCGCTAATAAAGTTGATAATGGACTTAACAAAGCACATGATACTCGTCAACTTGCAAACGCATCATCTTGATTCCAAAATTTTACACATGAATTCCACTGATCAATACAATTCCAGCATTGGAAATTACTCTAATTAACTTGCCAAATCAACTTCGATTAAAAACAGCATTTAGACCATTTCGAGGGTGGCTCGCCTACTTTTTATCCAAGATTGAATCTGCTTAACTAAATTCAAACTACTAACTACCAGCCTATATTTTTTTTTAATTTACAAAGACCAAACTTACGCACGAATGGCGCTGCACGCTAAACAATAGATGCGTGCAACGAACTGATCCCAATCTCCTCTTAATCCAGTAAATCAATACCTTAATGAGCTAATGTAAATTACACCACAAACCAGTACCAAATGTTAATGGAACACTGCTTACTTGGATTTTCCAAACTACTGAGCTATTTTGCAAAAATATCCACCGGTAATTCATGCTATTCCTCAATAGTCCGTCCAAGGAGTTAAATGGCATCACAGTGTTCCGGACGACAAACCTCTGTTCAGCCAGGGAAGCGGCATATGTAGCAACGAACAGGATTGACGCCATCCAATAGGACTGGTAGAGTACACGAAGAGACGTTTGCTTTGGCTTCAAAATCATCTGCAATCACAAAAAAAGATCATTTCGTGAAGTGTAAGACGAACCTACTCACATATTGTAATTATACAACTTCGACCGCTCGTGTTAGAGCAAAGACCAATATTATAGTGAAATCTAAAATGCTGCAAAAAGGCTTAAATTCGACATGAAATCGAAGCACGAAGGTAAGAACATGCTAAGGGTTCTGCTTAGTATTCACCCGCCAGACTGACCCCCTTCGAACAAGTCACAGGTGAAGCAGATAAATTTGTTTGCATTGTGATTACAAACGAACTGGCACAGCAAGTTTAAACTTGCAAGGAAACTAGCCACAGTGCAATGCAATAAGAACCACTTAGTAAAGCCCGATAATGGAGCATTTTTGAATTTTCCTCAAAACGCCTGCTCCAAGAAAAATTAGAACACATAAATTTATTTGAAATTCGAAAAGTAACTGAATTTAAAATGATTTACCTAATGAAAAGTGCGACAAATGTTCGTGTAATGTGTAAAATAACTAACTTTTGCTAATAACACGGCGGAGAAGTTACGAAAGATGACCGTTAGGAAGCGTGTGAAGAGCGAAGTGTCCTGGTCGTCTGGCACTGTGCCCAGTTCTCGAGTCTGCCAATCATTAACAATCTTGATGATAAAAAAGATTATTGCCACGACTAAGAGAGAAGCGAAGACGCATAGCCAAATGAAGCCACTGAGGGAGTCAAATATGCGGAAGAGAACCACTTTACTCGTTGCCCGACTCTTCACCATAACGATACCATCGTACAGAACTGTCTCCGTGTGTCTAACACGAGTGTCTGTGTCGATTGGCAGCGGGAACGCTGACATGGCCATTGACACCTAAGAAAACGGAGATGCATTTGATTTAATCAAAAAAATCGCTCCACTTTTTTTTATAAGCATAACACACTAAGTAAGTTCGGAAGAATTTGAACATAAGCATTTAATTGTATGTAGAACATTTGGTCACAAAGGTTACAATTTTTTGCCTCGGTTACAATAAAAATTATTAAACTTACATTTGACCCACTCAAATATTCCTCAATGCTTAATTGGATTGGTAAGCTTTTGTTGAATGGAACTTCGTAAATTTGGAAGTTGTATGGCAAGTCAGAAAAAATTTCAGTAATCATTTGACTAGCCATTGAGTACTTTGGCTGGCTTAGTGACGGTAGGAAGGTTACATCCTGAAACAGATTTAAAGGCGACGCATTCAAAGCTGCCTGTGCATGTGGCAGTAAATTCAAAACTTGCAAAAACTAAAGCTCACTTTCCAAAGTTTACGAAATCGGGGATTTAAAGTTTTCAAAAAACGCCTTACATGTAGAAGTCAGATTGCAGTAAAACAAACACTAAACATGTGATTCACGTCTGTCGGGTGCTCAAGATAAATTTGTAATGGCAGTATCCGTTGATTAACCTACTGTTGGCGAACCTATACATTTGGGAACCAGAACCCAATTAAAATGAACCCAAATTCCAACCACTACATCTCTAAGTTACTCGTTTTCTCAGACCTGTGGAAAATTTATTGTACTTTTAGAAACCTTGACAAAAACCATATGCTGGTAGAGCGTTTGTCGCACAAAAAGACCCCTGTAGAGTATGTCAGCACTCCAAAACTAGATTTTTGAACGCCTAATTTATTACCTAAACAAATCCACCAGTTTGCTTTACATGAGATGCTAGAGAACGGCTCTGACGTTTTATTACATGACTGCAACTAAATATCATTTGGAACCTCTTTCAACTTCGGCATCTTCGGCACCCGTGCAGAAAAACGTCATAAAAACAATTCTCATTGAACTGCTGCATTCGGACCTTCAGTGATGACTCATTGAATTACCTTCCAGATTCAAGCTTAACTGTAAAGCTTGAATGACAGAACCAAAATCATCACGCAGCAAACATCAATGAGAATTTTTAAGATTAGCCTGAGGTAATGCAAGCGCCATGATGCTCCATAAAAGGGTACAGGAGTGTTTACCATAAAATTAGACTTATTGGCTGGTTTTTTTGTTTGAGAAGGGAAATTCAATTTACGACCGGTCTAAGACCATAACATTAAAAGCTTCAATACTTGCCTGAAAAGCCAACAGCTTGACAACTGGTCTTTCAGATATGTCAGACGAGATCACTAGTTCACCGGTACGCTGATCATATACCCCAACATAAGACTGCAAGTAAAAAGCAACGAAAGTTGAATAAGGTATATAAAATACTATTAAAATAAAGTAAATGCACTTTCATACCGAAACACCTGAGTTTCCCCGTATCTCAGTAAAATCGGCATCAATAACGCACAAGAACCCATCCATTGTAAAACAAACCTTGTACTTTTCTCGATTTGATAAATTGATAATGACTTCAGTCTGAATAAAAAATGGACAAATCGGTGACGGGCATCAGAAGAATGAAGATAAATGGGCATTTTATGTTGCTCGAGCCTAATTTGCCAAAATGCTCGTAAACACCAGTTAAAAGTTGAAAGTCTAAAAACCAGATATTTAAAGAATGGTATAACCTAAAATATGACTTTAAGATTATTTAAATCGAAATGAATGTTGCACCTAATATCACGACTCTTTTGACAAACGCTCTAACCTTTGGATATAAGTTGAGGTGCCACAACTTTGAACAAAACACGCATAAGATCACGCACAATTACCAATCGGTTTTGGTTTGTCGATCTTGGCACTATAAGAGGCAAACGGTTGGAGATGGTGCAGTAAAGTGGTAGATTAGATATAGCTTAGTTCTATAGTAGGTCGAGTTCTTTAAGAGATTACTTCTTAATTAGCTGATGTCAGGGTAAAGTAGCGCATAGATATTTACAGATTACAACGAACTATTAGCTCTAGTCGTTGAGAGAAAACTTGATTAAGTGGTTGGGATTAGGCGGCGTTACATTCACCTATATTCTAAAGGTTAAGTGTTTCGCACTAGGTTTTTCATTAACGACGAACATGGTTGTAGAAATGAATAGAAATTTTGTCTCATTTCGTCATGACCTGCACCGACGAAGAGAAATTGTGGCATTTCATAATTGATTAATAACGGGTTTGTATAAAAATTCTTATTGATTGACCCACTGCTAAGCTAAGTAAAAACCAAGCACTCTGGTTATTAGAGCGTCATTAACTTCTAAAGCTGACTGGAACGCAAAAGCTTGCCAATACAGTTAACTTGCCAGCAGATTTTTATTGAAAAATTAGTTAAGAGATGTAGATGTGAGTACCTTATGTATCAACCGTAGAAAGTTTGCTCCAGTAAACTTGACATATTCACCATCAACGAATACGCTATCAGTAGTGGTTACTGCTGTTTTCGACAACTGTTCCAAAACTTTTACCGTTAACTCAACTGGTCCTTCCTTTGCAGAGGACAAAGCTGGAGTTACCACAGTAAGGTCAGCACCCGCATTTTTGAACGCATTGAATTTTTCTACGTTCTCCTTTTTGCTCTGTGTGTGATGGAATAAAAAATTAGGTGTACAAGTAAGTAAAGCTCAATTATCACAGCTACGTATTTACGCACACGGCTCATTCTCAACCAGACATAATAGCTTATTTTAACTGAGGTTATTTCACATAACCACAGAAACCTTTTTGCAGGTGCTTTTAATTATCCAAGCACCGCTTAAAGTATAGAATAAGTCAAAAGTAAAAGGACACTCCAGAAAATCCTTATTTAAATAAAATTTATCAATGCTCAAGCCATACATTTATAGATTCGAAGCATCTAAAATAGGTCGTATGGAGCGCGATTAGAGTTAGTGCTTGAAGTACGAACCGCGTTCTCTAATGCGTCTATAAATTCTATTAAGAATAGAATAGCACATAGGTCGACGTCGTTCTTCTACGATTTTTGTAAAAGAATTTATTACCTGCACGTTAAGTTGCTTAATATTCCTGTTTTTCCCAGTTTTCGTGGGAGAATGACATTGTAGCCAATTTGGCCTTGATTAAACAGTATGAAACATTTTTATAATTGATCTTTGCAAGATGCTGCGATCCTGTTAAGCTTGTCGTGTACTTTCTTCTAGGACTAGGAACAAGCACAGCTTCAACAATCTGAGTTTATTTAAAACTATAATTCGACTTCGGCCTTACAGTCTTCGAAAGATCTTTGGGTAAACCTTTCGACTGAGATTGGTGAATGAGGCTGGCTTTCGTATCCCTGTACAATGTCCAATCTAGCTTTTTTCAAATAGGCGACTTATGTCACGGCTTCCTTCTGCCTGGTAAAATGTTTTTACAATGAATACAAGTTCTTCAGCTGTCAAATGTTGACTATTCATTTGCACAATTACTGGAGCATGAGTTCCTATCGGAAGCGAAAACTCATAATTGCCCATTTCTAGTGAACAAGTCAAATTAACCTCGATATGATGTTTTCACATCAACTATTTCGGTTAAGGACAAATGAGGACTAATGAACCCGTGAATAAGCATGGCTGGCAGCCAGGTCGTTTTTGATTCACTCTGTACATCATCTTAAATATACAAACTACAACTTTTGAGGCATTGCAGTTCGTCATCTGTCTTTAAACTGATCGCGACATGCAGAATTAATCAGTAGCAATTAATGGTGTGGGTTGTCTTGAGGAGAAGTGTGAGCTTGAGTTACAGGAATGACTACTGATTTAAAAAAGGAAAGAATCAAACAACATGAACATTAGCAGGACTAAAGAATCAAGGCTAGTTAACCTAACACAGGCCATTCTGCACTACGCAAGCTGAATGTTTGCAATAGACACACAAATTGGTTAATATAATCCATCTAAAGAATTCATTTGCTTCTTAGTTAGTTTGCTAATGTGTATATGGTGTTTAGATTGCTATTCCTTACTTCACAGAGCAAATAAAATTAACTTAGTAGATTGATACAGTCATCATCAAACCAAATTAATTGGGCTTAGAGAACTTTATGACTCACCATATCCGTTTTAGAAAAAACAAATACACGAGATCCAAAGTAAAGACCAGTTTCAAGAAGCTAGAGTTAAAAAAACGACTCATAAAGTTCCATTCTCTATAAGAAAGAATGTCAAGTACAACACACTTTTGTAATTGTCAGTAAGCTGAACGATGAGGCAATATCCCCGTCACAAATAGCAAAAAGGACCGATTTTCCATAAATGTCGTATTTAAGTCCCATCAACTTATTTAATAAATCTGTTGAATTAGCGGTCGTTAAAATGCTCCAAGTGAAACTGTCCGCACATGCAGTACGAAGATATCGACATTCTGCAAAACACGTTTGAGTTAAGTTTATAAAACCAAAAAAATTATTTCTTACCCTGACTACTGTCTACAATGATAACACTTTCACTACTTTGAGATGTTTCAGATGTAAGTTTCCTAACAATGGGAGCAAAGTCGCCAAGTTGGAACGCAATTCGAAGCCAATTTGATCTATTAGTGCTTCGTTGAGGCAAATCTCCGGTGATAAAATACGCCACGTTGCTCGCAGTTGTATTAAGTGCAAAATATTCGTTAAAGTTCCCCATAGATGCGCGATAGATTCCAGCTGCGGAAGTCAACAAAGTCAGCCGTAGTTTATGTTGGGTGTGAGAGTGAAACAAGTAAGAAATCCTGATTCCTAACGATAATCACTAAAAACACTAAAGCAAACTTTACCACTTAAACTATTTAATTAGATTAGAGGATATTATTTCCTCACTTTAAAATAAAACAATTAGTAATATGAGCAAAACTACAAACGCACTATCTGCTTTATAGCATTCGACATACAACTTCATAACAACTTTTAAATTATGGAGACAATGCAGATTACTTCCAGTATTTTTGGCTGCTATTTTACGAAGAGTAAAGCTAAAACTAATTTATTATGACAACGAAACACTGTAACTTATTTAACGTACCTGATGAATTAGGCGGCCATTTGAAGTCATTCGTGTCTATCTGAACTCCTTTGAGGTATGGAGAGTTAAACTGTGACTCTGTAACCCCCAATTTTGGGGAATAAGCTAAAAAATGATAAACCTCATTGTTAACTGCATTAAAAGTCAGAAACGGCAAACGGCTCCGAGGCAGAGTATGCATCAATGGTAGGAATGAAGCTTGAAGGCGTGAACATGACGCCTCATTCCTACCAAGAATTTATGCATTAACCCAATGCAGATAGGTTCATCAGAAAACACAAACGCACCAGTTGAGATTCATGGGTTGTCTACTGACAAATGACAAAAAACATTTAAAGCATTTAGACATGACATTTTGGCGATTTCAGTTTACCCGGATGATTTTGTTACCAGAGCCCGCGTAGGCATTCCACTGTTGAAATACCAAAAAATGACAAATTCTTTCCTTGACATGACAACTACATTCTGTAAGGTACATTTCCTTAAGGAATAATATAGAAGCAGATAAAAAATGCCTAAGTTAATATGGGAAAGTCAAGATGTGGTGAATTTCTAGAACTGAATGGACAACATGATATGCTGGTTAGGTGACGACTCAGTTGAAATCGAGAAGCATGTGTTACAGGAAGGCTCAATTTTGGTGGTCATACAGATAAAAATGAGGTTCAATTTATGACTTTGTAGATAGCAAAAATGCAAAACAAACCAAAAATTTAACAGTAAGTGAAAGGTTCACATAACTACAATGTGTTAATGGGCTGCAGCAACTGCGTTTTAACATAACTAAGCGGTATTTTTCAACACTAAATAAGAACACACAACAAAAGCTAAATACAAACAAGGATGCTAAAAATCTGCGTAGCCAAGTGAATGAGAATAAACTAGCAATAATCACACAACGAACGCGCCAAGGACGTCATAATCTGCTCAATGATTCCACGGACGGACTTTGACTTGAATTTATTCTTTTTAAATAACAATCAAATTCAATTGAAGGGTTAGTGTCTATTTGAATGTTTTAGAAAGGAATTTGAACTGTATTTTATGTCATTTCTACCAATTCTTGCCAAGGTTATAGGCAATGGCAAAAAATTAAAATAATGGGGCTCTGTATTTTTAAGAATTTTGTAACTATGTAATATTTATACACTATTTTCATTCAAAATCCTGGATAAGTCAAAATTATGTTGCTACAAACTGGTAGCAAACTAGACCTCTAAAAATATAATTATACAACGACATCAAGATTATTATATTCCTTTCAACTCCCACTCATGATTAACATGACAGTACTAAAATTTATTGATATTCAATCACATCCACAATAAACTCCAATACTGCAGTATGACCAAAATGTTATGTTAAAAACTTACATACCTACTGGAATAATACCGCCAAATAATACATTCTGGCAATGAGAAACAGAAGACAGACACAGGAATAGAAATACCAACTTCATCTCTAACCGTATTCTCGCCTTAACCGAAAATAAATATGTTAGGTTTGTAAAACAAAATCGAGATATCACTCCTATACTTTCTATTCTAAGATCAACAAAGTTACTAACTTTGTCTTTATATTCCTAAAGGATTTAAGTTACAAATGAACAATAATTTAGTTGCAGTGTAGTAAAAAATGCTCCGAAAAATTGTCCTCAACTAAAATTTAATTATTGGATTTTTGATAGGATTCAGTTAGCTTTCGTTATGATTATGTGCACTTTTAACCTGAAATAAAAAATCTAAATTAGAAGCACTTCTGTATACAAAAATTGAGGGCTGTTGACTGAAACAAGCAGTAGACAATTTATTCTCTCCTGTTCAGTTGAAGGGCCCTATTTCCTCTAGGTCAAATTCCTTACGACAAATAGACTTACTTGCCCCTAATGTTTACCGTGTTTGCTTTGATCTGATAGTGCCTTTTTAAAAGTAGGAAACTTCCATTTCCCTATTATATGGAACACCGGATCGACTGAATTATCAAACTCTTGCAGACATTAGTGTGTCTAGCAAACGTGCTAAAAAGACTACTATCTCGAAAAAGCTAATTATCGAACTCCACTGCAAAACAATAAATACGCTACAAACCTTATTCAAAATAACTACAAATGCACGTTGTATGCAAACTAAGATTATTTTCACGCACGCCA